TAGTTAAAAAAAATCTAATTTTTATAATTTCAAAACAATGAACTATAAGTGATTTTTTTTGCTATTTTTTTTCTTCATTACATAGCATTGATTAGAAAATGATTTCAATTCCAAGGAGGGAGCAACAGAATAATTGAATTCAATAAAGAACCTGAAAGAATTTAATTTTTGAAAAAATTAACATTATGATTCTTATGAGAATTTCCTACAATATAATCTTTACCACAAAATTGACGGAAGAAATGAATGTTGATAGATTCGATGGAGAAATATTCCAAGTATTCAAATAAAATAATGTAAATTGAGGCAAATTTATAAAATAATAATTTCAGAACTGAAAATAATGTTTCATTTTTAAATGTTCTATTCAAAGATTGCAAAAACTCCAAAAAATGTATGATTAATAATGGAAACTGTATTTGAAAACGGTTTTTTGCATCAACGAATTTTCCAAAAGAATTGAAGATTTACAATTGAAGTTTGAAATATTTTAAAAGATAAAAGAAAGAACAGAATTTTGGAGATATTTTTACGTGCTTTTTACTGAAACTGTAAATGAAAATATTGGCTTTCAAGAATGAAATACATAACAACATATTTTTTACTCTTAATTCAGAAATTAATTTTTCAAGAGTCATAAAACTCATCTTTTGTTTTTAATAATTGATCAAAAACTTCAATAAAACCCGGAAAACAGAGCCCGAAGAATATAAACAGAAATTTCGAAGAAGCAATTCCAAAAGTTTTCAATCAATTAAAATAATTTTAAGCAAGTTTAGTTTGTTCTTCATTATTAACTGGCCAATTTCTTCCCTCTCTTATTTCAATAGAAATGTTGATCTTGATGAATTTTCTGTGTCATTTATTTAAAGACGTCGGAGGAAAGGAATTTGATTGATTGGATGGCTGCGCGCATTTTTGTTCCTTTTGTTTTGTATTCAGCCGAGCCGAAAAACGCGCTCTTTGCTGCCGACGGCGCGCGAAAAAGAGCAAAAAAAAATGAATTAATATAAAAGCAAGAAAATGGCAAATTGCCCTCGCGTGTGTCATTTCGGGACTGAAATCTACAAGAACAATTAGGGCATAATAAGCAACGAGCAGCCGCACTTAAATGCAAATGCGCGTCGAAAGCTCAACAAGCCAAAAAAAGGGAATAAATAATAAAGGGAGGGGCGAGTGCGGTGGTGGGGCGGCGGCGGCGGCGGCGGCGTCGCCCCCGCGGCCTCCGGCGAAGGATCAGTCGCGAGGCGCACCGCCATGGAGTACCACGTGTGGAGCCTCGACGAGCTGCCCGCCGCCCCCGCCGCCCCCGACGACGACAAGCAGCGACGCGCCCCCGAACACAACCCTCGCAACCCCCGAACAGGTCTGCAGAGAAATATTTCAATTGAATTTCTTTAAAAGACCAAAAAAGTGACTAAAGTGAAATTTCAAACTAGCGAATTAAAATTAATTTTAATTTCAAGTAAAAATCGGCTTAAAACACTCGATTGAAATAAAATTACTGGATCAAATGTCCTTCAAAAAAAACTACAAAATCCAAATGTTTCTTTAAAATTGGTAAATAATGCTTGAATGAAATTTTCCTTTGAAATATTGATTTTAATCTAGTTTTTTAAGGGAATGATTAATTGGAGTATTTAACTTTCCAATTTATTATGAAATTCTTTTTTTTTGCATTTAAAAAGCATTTGATATATCTAAAAATAATAACTTTCTGGTCTTAAAGGGGGAAAATATTTAAATTTTTGCTCTAAAAGTAAAGTTTTCCGAGATCAGGAAGACGCAAATCCGAATTTTATTTAAAAAGTTTCAACTTCAAGATAAAACAAAACTTATAAAAATGTAGAAATTGAAAAAATTTGCATAAAACTTTTGGTCATATTTTTGCACCAAAACAAATTGAGTTTAATTAACATTAACCAATTAAAAGAGTGCATGTTTCCTTCTTTCCGACTTTTTTCCTTTTTGCATTCGGTCGTTGAAATCTCCACGCTCCGTTTCGCGTTGACGCTAAAAACGCTCTTCTTTGCGATGCCCTGGCCCATTTCCCTCTCAAGCTGCGAGCGCGGATTGATTTTTCAGCGTGAAATCAAGCAAAACAGTGTCACTCGTTTTTCACCTCTTTTCTTTCTTATTATATTCGCTGCAAATTCGAGTGTCTCGCGTCTCATCGAGTTCACAAACGCGCTCACTTTTGCTCACAAAAGTGCTCTTACTTTTTTTGTTTCAAACGAAAAACGAGCTCTCTTTACTTTCTTTACACAAATAAAAATCAATACTTTTTCTTTACCCCCTATTTTGAATAATAATTTCAATATAAAGAATCAAAAGTGTTATTGGATTATATTTTTATGAATTTAGATTAATTTGTAAAAATGTTAATCTTTTTAATTTTCCTTTTTCTAAAATGTCTGCAGTTTCAATTTTATTTGTTGAATTTGACAATAATTTTAATTTTAAATAAAAATGGTGATCAGAATTTCTTAATAAAAGGATCAAAATTTAGAAAATAATACAAATGAGAATTTAAATGAATTTGTAAAAAAATGGATAATTTTACAAGTTTAATCCGCAGATTAATTCAAATTGATTTTTAAAAAGTTTCAGTCCACAATTCAAGTTTCTTTTTTGATTTTCAAGATTCTCGAAGGTTCCAAATCCGATCTAAATTGTTCTGTTTGCAACGTTTATCGTGAGCTCCCGGTTTTTTGTATTAATTCCGCGCGTTTTGTTTCGTCTGTGCTGTGAATAGATGAAATGAATTGAGGGCGATCGCCGAGGACAAACGGATCGAATCGGCAGATCTAAATAGCGCGTGACAAAGCGGCGGCGATTAAAGACCGCGCGCGGAGATGGGCTTTCTCTCCCACGCTAATGCACCTCCTCCCTAGCTTTTTTCGCCTGCAATTTCACTTGCTTTCCTCCTCAGAACTTTGTGAACTTTGCCTTCCGAATTGCTGCAGATCGCGGGTCCATTCTTTTGTCAATTCGATCCACGCTCTCCATCTTTAATCTCACAACAAAATATTATAATGTTTACCCAACATTCACTTGCGATTTTTTGCATCAAGCGAAATAACTTAATAATGCTTGTTTTGCAACGAGTTTTACTGGGAAAAAAATTCAATCAAAACCGTTGCTATGGGATCAGGTTTGGAAATGAAATTTTTAGCAAAAACTTTCAAATTCATAATAAAATAAAATTAATATTTCCAGTTTCGGTAGTAAAAAGGTTTTGAAATTTTGCAAATCTTTCCCTTTTTGTCAAGCACTAAATTATAATTTGAGTAGATAATAGTGAGGAACGTTTCTTAAAATAATAAGCATTCATTAACTTAAGTAATTTAATATAATCTAAAAATTATCCACCAGCAAAGTAAGTTTTCTTTGAAAGTAAATAATATGATTTAAAACAAATGAATGAGAAACTTTATTTACAAAATCTAAAATTTAAGTGTTTATGTGTTTTGAGCTAAAGTTAAACTCTCCATTTCTAGAGAAGAACCGAAACTTCAGAAGTTTTTTAATAATCCTTTTCCGCCTTTTCCTTTTTCAAATCTCCAAGTTAAATTTTTTGCAAAATTGGTATAAACTGCAAGAAAATGTAGCTAAAAAGAAATGTGATTGATTATATAAAATTGATAAGTGAATTCAACAAACTTTTAACAATTAGAAGATTTTTAAAAACATAGAAGCTTTAAATTCATTAAAACAAAAAATTGAGTTTTTACTAAAAATTGTTCTCAAAATAATTGTTGTTCCTGCTTTAGCAAGTCCTTGACTTGTTCTTTTCCAATTCAAAAGGAAATATTGTATCGAAGCAGAAAAGTTGGCTGCTGGTGTGATAGAAATGGCTGCAAATTGCGGCGCAAAAGATGTGAGAATTTCCATGCAGGCAGGGCAGGGCAGGGCAGGGGTCAATCGATTACGGCAGGGGTGACCAGCAAAGATGGAGGTCAGCCGAGGGGGCTGTGGCGCGGGTCGATCGGAAGGAAGGCCGCGGGTGCGGGGCGCGTCCATTGGCTGACCAATGGAGGGTGACCACCCCTATCAAGCTGCAACCCCCGCTGCTGCATGTTTGTTTTGCGCGCGGACACGCGGCCGCCGCGGGTGGTGCGCAAATTCGTCTCCAGGGGCAACTCGTGCGTGCGCCCACCTCGATCGCCCCCCGCGCATTAATTTTATTTCTCTCTTGAGACTTTCAAAACCTACACGGCGACTAAATTGCTGAGCAATCAAAATCAATTCAAGTTTGTTGTGCAATTTTAGATTTTTTTAATGGGGAAATCAATTTTATAATCAAAATTACGACGAACTTTTCCTTTTTGATGTTTTTTTCTTCTGATAAAAATTAGTCAAGGAAAGAAAAAAAGTCATGCCAGTTCCAAATTTTAATATTCAAAATAAATACACATTTTCTAAAATTACCTTTAGAATTTTTGTAGTAATTTTTCTATTTCTTGTACAAACATTGAGAGTCTCATGTTGAGATCAAAATTAATGGTTAGGAAATTTATTTAGCTTTGAAAACATGATCAATTCACTTAAATCGGACAATTTTTGGCGCCAAAAAGTTCAATCGTTTGATCACAGGTCAATTTATTTTTCATTTTTATATGGTTTTTTAGCTGTAGATTCTGTGAAAATTATTTTGGATAAAAATGCTTCAAACAAAACTTAAAGATATTTTAATTTTGCATACATTTTGAATTAAACATTTTCTTCTAATTGCAAATCATCGGAAGTTGTTAATACGGAAATGTTGAAAAATGAGGTTTTAGCTCAAACTATTTAAAAAATAAAAATATGGTAACTTTGGAAGGTAATTTTTTTTACCTAAGAAAGAAGGAAATATAAAAAGAAATCATAATTTTGGTCTGGCATGTAAATATTTTAGAAATAGGGCAAAAATGTTATGATTCCTGGACGAAATGAGCGTTTTTCACTCAAATTTGATTTTCGACAATTTTTGCTGATTTTTTTTTCATTTGTCGTAGCTCGCGCTGATTTTGTGGGCGGCATCGACAACGAGGCCTTGGACTTCAGCCAGCTGGAGGACTTCATCAACGGGGACAATGACCCCTCCAACAAGTACTCCCTTTTAACCTCACATTAAGTTTTTTTCTTAACGAATTTTGCTCAGCTACTTTGCCGACACGCTGGCCAACAACGAGAAAGTGGTGGCGCCTCGAATGCTGGTGCCCCCGCCGCCTCCGCCGCCCCCGGTCTACAAACCTCACCACGACGCACCCTTTGTTCCACACCCGTGAGTTCTAAATTTCTACTAAATTTATTTTCACATTTATTCCTTTGGGAAAATGCTATTTCTTATTGTTATTCAATTTAACTTTTTTTACAAGAATAATTTATCAATTTTTTTCATTTTTATGAAAAATTTAAAACCATGAAAGTTTGCAATTTTTCCAAATTAATTATAATCTTTTAAAAATCTGCTTGTTGTAAATATTTTATTTGGGAAACTGAATGAATTTCTTCAGACACAACTTGCCCGAGAGCCCTCCCGACTCTGGTTCGGAGCCGCCGTACTCGCCCCAAGAGCAAGGGGCGCACTCGCCACGTGAGTTTCCCTTCTTTTTTCTTATTCTCATTTTTCCTCCACATGTACTGATTTGTGATTTGTCGGAAAAGAGCAAAACAAGACGGCGATGGCGTTGCCCGACATGCTGATCCACGACTCGTACAAGTTGGCCGCCTCGCTGTTCCCGCCGCCGGCCGCCCCCCTGCCGGCCGCCAGCCCCCTCGTCCAGGTACCCCAGCAGCTCAGCAACCCCGTCTACACCACCCTGCAGCCATCGCAGCAGGCCAAGAAGAGGAAGTTGTCCGACGGCGCCAACAACGTCCAGGTCAAGCAGGAACCAGGTAAGATTTAAAAAGAAAAAAAAATTATTTTGTCGAGAATTGATAAATCAACCCTTATCTTCTTTTTGCATGTTTCCCAAATTCAGATTATATTTCGTGGAAACGTATAATGTGGTATTTCCAAATCGGGAAAATATTTTTGTCTCTTTTCTCCAAACAGCTTCAGCTTTTGGTCGTTGGTGGCGCTGCGATCGCTGATTTTTCAAAGTTCGCAGCGCCACCAACGTACAAAACCAGAAGTGTTTAGGACAAAAAGATCATTTTTCTTCATTCGTAAATGTAACATCGTGTTTTTACAAGATTTATTATGCTTAAAATTTTACGATCATTCAGAATATTAATAACTTATTTTTAAATTGCCTATTTCAACGTAGGCCATAAAAGTTTGTTCACTTCGATCACACAAAAAATGAGTGCTCTTAAAAATGAATCTTAGTAATTTGGTAAAATTCGCTAGAGTTAAGGTTAAATTAGGAATTTAAAATGTTTGTTTTTGAACGTTTTCAGTCAAATGCTCCCCGGAGTTGTCACCGGACTCGAGTTCGAACCACACGGGCGTGACCGCAACCGTGCTCGACTCGCAGGACGACTACAGTTTTGACATGGCGAGCAGCGACGCCAGCTACCTGGACGGCGCCTACCAGTGCATCAGGTTCCAACCCTTCCAGCAGACCTCCTGGCACACCCTCTGCGACCACGAGTTGAAAGAACTGTGAGTCTCCTTTTTATTCAAATTAAATTAAACTAAATTTAATTTAAGTATCCAATTGTTGTAATTGTCTTTTTTTCTAACTAATTGTGTTGCAAAGTGTTCAGGGTTTAATTTTTATGATGTTTTTATGAATCTGTGGCTTTAAAGAATGAAATAATATCAACAATTTGACTTTAAATCAGAAAATCGATTTTTGAAATAAACATTAATTTAATTATGATTTTTGAATAAATTTTTGCAGTCCTGTTCCGCACTACAGGGTGGACGCGGACAAAGGCTTCAACTTCTCAAACGCCGACGACGCGTTCGTGTGCCAGAAGAAAAACCACTTTCAGGTCGGTTGGCGAACATCAAATAAACGGGGGTTGCTAGGCAACCGCCCTGGCCAGTTTGATCGATTTTTATTGAATTTTTTTGTTTTTTGTTCAGATCACGTGTCACGTGCAGCTGCAGGGGGAGGCGCACTTTGTGAAGACGGCCGAGGGCCTCAAGAAGATCACCAGTTTCCACCTGCACTTCTACGGGGTCAAGGTCGAGTCGCCCACGCAGACCATCAAGGTCGAGCAGAGCCAGAGCGACCGCAGCAAGAAACCCTTCCACCCCGTCCTGTGAGCACCAATTTTTTTCCTAATTTTATTTTACGACTTTTTCCCTCTTTTGAAATTTGAAACGCAGAAATAATAAAGCGCCAAGTGTTTGCTCCAGGGTTGACCTGCACCCCGAGCAGCTGACCAAGGTCACGGTGGGCCGGCTGCACTTCAGCGAGACCACGTCCAACAACATGCGCAAGAAGGGCAAGCCGAACCCTGACCAGCGCTACTTCTACCTGGTGGTCGGCCTGCACGCCCACTGCGCCGGCGACTGCGACTACCCCATCGTGGCGCAGGCCTCGGAACGCATCATCGTCAGGGTGAGTCTCTCCCCTATCCCTCTGACCTGGTCCTGCGCACCCCCACAGGTGTGATTCTGATTGGAATCGAACCTTAAAGGGGGCGTGACAACTTTTCGAAGGTCAAAATTCTACAGTTTTTGTAACATTGTTTCAACGGGGATTAGCAGAAAAACATAAACTAAAAGATATTAAAGATAATTTCAATATCAAAGTTTATTTTAAGGCGGTCACTGAAAGTATCCAATATCAATGAAAGTTTAAAAACTTGTAAAATTACTTTTCCGCAAACGGTGATAACTTAATTTCTTTTAGAGTTACAATGAAATTTCTAATGACAAAAAAGTTAGCCTCGTGACTTTAACTATCGAAATATGTATTGATCATCCAGGTCAGGTCACTGAAGGTCATTGACCCCCGTGACCTAGGACCTTATTAAATGGTATATCAACAAATAATCATAGATTAATACATCATTATCAAATTTCTTTCAAAGTTGGCTCAAAAATATTATTGTTGCTCCCTTTTTAAAGGTCTGAGGTCTATGGGGGTCAATTACCTTATTAACTTGATCTGGATGAACAATACCTTGTTCGATAAAAAAAAGTCAAGAGAATCACTTTTTGTAATAGACATTTTGTCGTAACTGAAGCAGAAACTGAGTTATCGCTGTTCTTATTAAAATTCATTCCTATTTTTCACGGTTTTTAATGTTTCTTTACAAGTTACCGAAGCTCATCAACCCCTGTGACCTCAGAAAAGGATATAATAACTAATGAGGTTAGATAAAAAAAAACCGGCTAACTTTTCAAGCGATCAATTTGATTATGGTGCAATTTTGACTTTTCCAAAGTTTATCAAAGGACTGAAGATTTTTTTATTTATTTTTTTTTTTTTAATGAAAACAAAAATGGTTGGAACTGAATTGAAAGTTTTTCTCGAACGTGAAGGCGTCAAACCCCGGCCAGTTTGAGAGCGACGTTGAGCTGGGGTGGCAAAAGGGCCAGACGGCGGACTCGGTGTTCCACGCTGGCCGCGTCGGCGTCAACACGGACCGGCCGGACGAGGCCCTGGTCGTGCACGGCAACCTCAAGCTGACCGGCCACCTGGTGCAGCCGAGCGACGTGCGCGCCAAGGAGGCCATCGTGGAGACGGACACGCGCCAACAGCTGCGCAACGTCCAGCTCCTGCGCCTCGTCAACTTCCGCTACGCCCAAGACTACTGCGCCCACGCCGGCGTCCACGGACAGCCCGCGGACACGGGCGTCATCGCCCAGGAGGTATCGTACTTTTCTCCCTCCCCCTTTTATATTTTCCCCTATGTAGGGGAAACATACCTTGGAAAGGTGGCGAGTTTTTGAATTTTTGTAGTAATTTTTCTACAACTTGTACAAAAATGAGACCAACGCCACTCGATAGGAAATTTTATTAGCTTTCAAAATCTGACCAAGTTTACTTAAATCAGTAAATTTTTGGCGCCAAAAATTTCAATTGCTTGATCAAATGTCAATATTTTATCATTTTTGTATTGGTGGTTTAGCTCTAGCTGTTTTGGAAATCATTTTAGGGAGAAATGTTTCAAACAAAACTTGTAGAAAATTTAATTTTGCACAATTTTTGCATTTAACATTTTCTTCTAAATCCAAAGCGAAAAAAGTTGTAATAGCGGAAAGGTTAAAAAAATGATGTTTTTCTGCTCATAATTTTTAACGTTTCTTTAAATTATTTAAAATTTGATTATAATTTTAAATGTTGTGATTTATTTGTCTTGTATGCATGTGTAAATTAATAATAAATATAAAATTATTTTAAGTTTATAAAGTTTGCATTTCTTTGCGGCCCCGGTCATTTTCTATCTGTCTTGTCTGCAAACCGAAGTTAATTTTGACTTTGGCGATTTGAACGCAGGTGCAACGCGTGTTGCCCGAGGCGGTGAGCTCGGCGGGGGCCGTGGTGCTGCCGAGCGGGCGCCGCATCGACGACTTCCTCGTTGTCAACAAGGACCGCATCTTCATGGAGAACCTCGGCGCCGTCAAGGAACTCTGCAAGGTCACCGACAACCTCGAGTCCAGAATCGGTCAGCTCGAGAAAATGCGCGCCAAACGGGTAGACTCGCTCAGCAGCGCCGGATCTGGTATGTATTTAATTGTCAATTACACTGATTCTGATTTGGGAAGATAATGTTTCCTTTTTTTTTGTAAGGTTTATGATAATCTTAAATTTCAATAAAATTTATCCCCTTTAAATTCATTATGAAATTATGAGAACAATAACGGTGAAAAATCAACATTATATAAATTGAAATTTCGTGTATTTGTTAATTAAAAATGCAAATAATGAAATTGATTTACATTCTGGTAGAATAAATTGATATTAAAAATATCTGTTAATTTTTCTCTCCATTCTTCAATGGCTTTGGCACGTTAATTAAATTAAAATTGGTTGCTTAGTGACGCAAAAACGAAGAAGGGCGCCTGACGAGTCGCTTTGGTGCTCCAACAGGCTGATCCAGGTGACCCTAATGCTGCTAATGTTTATTATGGCCTTTTGGTGAGTTTTCATTTAATTAAATGTGTAATGAAATTAAACTAATTTTAAATCTAAAAGCCTGGTTGCCATGGCGACTCTCTACTTCCTCGAGTACCAGAAGCGGAGCGACGTCGACCTCTTCAGGCACTCGTACAGGTACAAACATACCTAAGAAAAGATTAGATTTTGATTGAAATTTTTGCAGCCAAAAGATTTTGTCTGCGACGCGGCGGCCGACGAGCAGGCCGACCCGACTGACGAGCGTGGCGTCGGCGCCAACAATGGTTTGGTTCACCTCGAAGGCGACGCCCACCCCCACCACCAAGAACGTGGTGGACGCCGAAATCGACGCCGTCCACCAACCACTCGGCGAACCGCCCGACTGCCTTGACAAAACCTGTCCGGTCAGTAATTCCGAGATAATTGATTTGATTATTTAATACGTAAAAAATTGTTATTCTTGCAGGTCTATTGTTGCCTCGGGGGCGCCAACGAGAACCTGGACGACGTTCGGACACTGTTTGACGTCACCCCCGGCAGCAACAAACTCGACTCTGAGTACTCCAAGGGCACCAGCAGCCCTCCTCCCGTCAAAGAGGTATCGAATTTTATGAAAAGAAGACAAGTTTTATAAAATCCTCATTTCAGCGGCTCCGAAGTTCGAGCAATGAAGTTTTGGTTCGCAGAAGGCGCAGAGAAACAAGCCATGACACAAACGGACTCTCTTTCTCTGGTATGAAATATAAAATTTGACAATTTTCTCCTAAATTGGATCAAAAGTTATTCAGATCATTCTGGATTTTAATTATGACAATCATTTCCAATGAAAAAAGTTTAAATATCATTGTTTGATCAAAATCAAAATAAATTTGTGCATTTTTTTTTTATTCTGAATTTATTTGAATTGGAAGCTATCCAGAACTTTTTCCTTTGTGAAATTTAAATATGACTAATTTTCAACCTTTGAAACAAACTTTGCCACCAGAAGGCGAAAATCATTTCCTTCAATTGTTTCTGACAGAATCTCTATTTGAGTTTTTGTATAGAGATTTTAATTTTTGAATTAACCTGAAATAGTCCAATAACTTTGGTTCTCATTGACTGAGACACGTTTTCTTCTTGGTTTTTGAAAGACAAGTTGGGAATAGTAAGACATTGTTTTGGTTAAAAGAATATTGATAATTCGGAATAATTATTAAATTTTGTTTTATTAATATGAATTTTTGGCGTAGGGTTTTACAAGAAATTGTTTTAAATTTCCAAAAATTTCAAATTGAGATTCTGAGACAATGATTTTCAGCTTTTCTTTCTCTGTCTGGCAAATAAAAAAAATCAGCATTCTAATTGAATTTGCTCCGGGTCAATACTTAACTTGATGGAAACTAATTAAGTAAATTAATAATTTAAATAAATCCATTCAACTTTTGGTAAAAATCTAATTGAATTGCAATTGTAGAACTGGGAGTGCTTGGAATCCAGTTGTCCGGACGCCACTTGAACGTGTCTCTGGGGCCGTCGTTCTGCGACCACGATTCCTCGGAGGTGGACAAGTGTCTGCAGGGGGTGGCGGCCAACACAAGTCTGGTGGTGCCCCTGAGCGCGCACCTCCCGCACGCGCACCTCGCCCTCTCCTTCACGTGATCAATTTAACAAAATGCAAAAATTTTTGTTCCAAATCAATTTTTTTACAGGCTTCCGGCGTCGCTGCAGGAGCCGGTGGAGGAGTGCGAGCCTCTGGTGGAGGCGGCGCCGTGTCCGGGCGTGCAGGCCGAGGCGCCCGGCCCCACCGTGTCCCCTCAGCACTTCACGCTCGACGTTTCGCGCTCCGTCTCGGCGCACTTCCGCTTCAGGGTGCCTCTCACCTCCCTGCAATACGTGAGTGAACCTTGCTTTCAAGCCAAAAAGCGCTGGTCGTGGATTTAAAAAAAATATTATGAGAAAAGAACAAACAATTTGCAGTTTTTCTTAATTTTGAACTGAAGCAAAATGGAAACATTCATTTGTTTTTTTTTTTTACATCAAAGATTATTTATAAAAAACCTAAAGGAGATATTCTTAATTTATTGTTCCTCCTTGAAAGAAGAATCTTAGAAAAAATTTAGCCTAATCAAAGGTGGCATATTTTGCTAGATTTTTTTTGTATTTTCACCACTGAATCATTCGACCTCTCAGGGTTGAAGAGGAGGTAAAAAGGAAAATTTTTGTTCCAGCCGCATTTCTGTACCTCAAAAAGAACCTGAGGTATTCAATTTTTAAGATAAAGCTTCAGTTGCATTTTTCCAGGAAAGTTAACTTTGTGTGCCAAAACTCAAATATTCAGCCGATTTTACTGAAGAAATCCACGACTCTCGCCTGCCGAATCTGTTATTATTTGGCCCGACTTTTTAAAAAAATTTGTCCATTTCCAGGACGTGTGCAAAGCGGCGGCGACCAAAGTGGGCTCGGACTTTCTGGAAGTCAACATTAATGTGCACCGAGTGTGCGCCGAATAAAGACGGTCCCGATGTGATAAATGACGAGCTATTTTTCCACCCCTTCCCTCTGCACCAATAGCCGGCACCATTTAGTCATCGTACGTGTACAAACAAGATCTCTGCTCCTACTATTAAATCCAGATTATTGTATAAAAACATTCAAATGCTAATTATTATTATTATTATATGGAATATATCACAATTGTAACCAGTCATTTGTTAAGTTTTATCGTGTACCTCGTAGAGAATCAATAAAATTGTCTTTTTAATTAATCGACGCATTTTCCTGGTTGAGAAATAATATTATATTCATTGGGAATAATTTTACAAAATTTAAAACTCTGGCTCGGATTTGATCTCGTGCTTGACAAGCACCGTCTGCAAGTGGTCGTCCCTCCAAACGGGTTCGGGCATCGTCGTGATCGAATCCTGACACTCGCTGTAAAGTTCCCTGCAAAGTCATCTTGATAAAAACGCCATCCGAAAATTACAATGGGTGGGTCCGAACATGCGATTCCCGATAATTGAATCTCGCGTATGGATTCTCAAGTGTGGTGGTTTTTCAATGGCAGAAACGTTCCTCGAGAATCCTTGCGCTACGAGAATCGATTCTCTCGCCTTCGGACCCACTCAATTTTTGCACTCACTGGTAGTCCGGTCTGGGCTTGATGAGCATGAGGAGGATCGACCTGAGGGTGCCGATGCTCTGGCCCAGGTCTTGCCTCGAAGGGATGTACACGTAGGGCAGGGCGAGTTGCTCGCACACGCCCGGAATGTGGCTCATGATGTCGATCGGGTTCACGTCGCCGGCCAAAATCACAATTCTGCAAGAAAAAAAAATTGTCGTCAAAATCATTGTTTTTTTTATTTATTTAATTTTTTTTTATTTTTACCCTTTTTCACCCTTGCGAAGGGCTCTTTGGACGGCCTTCAGTCCAAACACCATGTTGTTCTTCTTGTCTTTGGACGCTACAGGGGCAAAAAAGAAAATTGTCAAAACGAAAAACATGCCAAACCACGTGGGCTTGTTTCGAACCTTTCTTGGCCAATTTCAGGAGTTTCTTGTTGAGCTTTTTGCCCGCCATCGGCTTGGCGATTTTGTTGACGAACTTGAGCTTGTCCGCGTACGGAACTTCCTCCTCGGCCATGCTGACGTCGCCGTTCCCGGCGTCCACACTCTTCTTCTTGCCCATGCTTTCAAATGTCGAAGACACGAAACTTTGTTTACCTCGTGATTAAATGAGAAGAGCAGGCGTTGGTGACGTCACGTGACCGACGTGAACCACAAACAGGTTGGCCACCTCTCCCTTCCTGGCCCACACTGTTGCCAACCCAAACACGACGATTTCCTCTCAGAAATCAATGTATCTATTTAAGTTATATTATTTTATATTCTTCTCTATTTGTAAACTTCGGAAAATGGAAAAATTATAATAAAGGTAAGTTATACTATTTTATGGGAACTCTGATTGTGAAATGTCGGAACAACACTAAAAAGTAATGATAACAGAAGAAAAACTCTATTATTTATTATGTTTCACATTAAAAATAACGCATAATGACGATAATTTTTTTTTTTTTTCAAATAATTTCATCTAATTTTACAAAAGAAACAATTGAATTAAAAATAAGTATAAAAAAATTCAAAGATATAGAGAAAATGTAATTAATTTGCATTTGCTATGATATTTTTCATTATAAATAATTTAAGAAATTATTAACACAACTTCAATGTCTTTAGCACGAGAGCAGCCAACACCGCCGCGTTCACAGTGGAGACGGACGTGGATCTTCCGAGAAAGCCTCCAACACGCCAGAGCGAGAGATGCTGTACATATTGTTATCAAGCGACACGGGAATGGATAATTGAGAAAGAAACGCATTTTGCGCTTGGCAAACCTTTTCGGGAAATTTTAATTGCATTTGTCACAAAGACAATTAATGCAGCTTCCTCTGTGGCCAATTATCATATTTTAGTCCCACGCACGGACGGCCTTTCCAAAAAATAGGCTGCCTAAAAAAATATAGTCGGTATGAATTTTTGCTCAAATTCACATGTGATTTGACATTAAACTCCTTTAAGGAGTCGGCGGCTATTATATGCGCTACAAGCGACGGCTCATCTGGTCTAAAAGCTGCGGTGTCCGTCAAATAAAAAGTTTTAATCATTTTGCTGCCAGTCAGCCTGGAATTTGCATTATCTTCAAAAGAAAACAAAGCACCCCAGTCAAGTAGCATGGAAAAATTTAGAATTAGGCCAACAGTAATTAGTGATTTGCATTTAAATGACTTTTGATTTCCCATTCGTAACGAATTCGCGCCGTCATCGACTTTTGGAGAGCGAAATGTAATTGCTTAAATTAATAGTCCTTTCTTCTCAGCATTGAATGAGAAAATGCTTGTTTTTATTAGAAATTCTTACTGGAATGTGAAACAAAACGTTTCACGCCGAGAGTAACACGCAAAAGTCATCCGACGTTGATTAATTCGGCACTGCCTCTCGGCCTCTGAAGCCAGAAATAATAGAAGCGCGCATTGAAACCGGCTTTCCGCAACTCATACCCAGCCTATCATGTTAACAATGTGCGCTTGTTCTGAAAAGTAAGAATGCGGTCGGCACTATCAACGACGGCATGAACATGTCGAGAATGAGCAAATTTGGTCTCGCCACCGCCACCAGGTTTGCAAACCATGAAATAATAAACCTGCACAATGTTCTTAAAATAAGTGCTAATTAAACGAAATTCACAGGAAGCAAGCTAGCAGAAAATTAGTTTTTTGTTAAAAGCATTTTTTTTTTTTACCGCAAACCAATTTTATAAAAAAAATTTAATCCGTAATCTTATCGCTCCCAAAGGTTTCTGCTCTGTCCGCGTCTGCAAGTCCTTTGCCCCTCATCAACACAATTTTCGTCTATTACGCAGCTTAATTTTCTTATTAATTTAAAACTTTATTTTTGTGTGCGATGAAAAAGCGTGCAGAGAACAAAGTTGCTGAGGTAAGATTTTTCTACAATTAAAGGAGCTTGTTTAGAATGAGCCGCGCGTGCATTAAAATCATTTGTTTATTGTGTTTAGTATAATCCCATCAGCTGTGTCGTGCTAATTCGACTAACACGTTTTCACTCTTTTTAACCACACATATTTACCTGCGAGACCATTCTGCCTCTGCATTTTTGCGCTTTCACATACAAAATTATGCTGCGGACACACGAGTTATAAATTTTTGTGCAGAAATATACGAGTTTTTATGTTTATAATACATTATAAATGTACATTGTTGATGAAAAAAAATCACTCTATGCTTTTGAAAATATATAATTTAAATATTTACCGTCTAACTAAAGCTATAATTAATTGTCTGCAATATTATATACATAGGATTATTTTATTAAGATGGTTTATTTCTTTTCTGTTGCTATAGGTGTCTGAACACATGGCCCAGTCGTCACCAGGCGAATCGTCAACAAGCTCTGAGCCGGATAACAGTAAGGCTTAATTAACTTCATAATTAACTGCGTGCCAAAACACTTGGAAGAAACACAGTGCGCAGAAACTGAAAAGCTCATCGGCTTGTTTCTTCCAAGTTATGTTTCAATTTTCCAAGTTTCTGCTTTTAAAGCCAATTACTAACTAAACTGCCGCTTTAACACACCCGAGTTATTTTTATGAGAGATTTCAAATCTAATTGTATTTATTATTTTGAAAATACAAGAAGCACGCCTGTAAATGAAAAGAGAAAACTTGCCAAAGGGCTAAGTGATAATAGAAAAATAAAAGTTTTCTTTATTGAAACTGAACTAATTTTTAAAATATCCATTCAGATGATTCGAGCCTTGGCAGCCTTGGTAATCAGGGCAGCATGAGCGGAGCAGGACAGCAGCTTCGCCAGCATCCGCAACGCGCTGCCCCGGCAGCGCCATTGTTTTCGAGTTCTTCGCGCTTTACCTCGAACAGCACCACGGGCAACTCTTCGCAGCTGCTGAGTTCTGCCAGCTCAGCCAGCTGTAACGAGCTTTTTCAGAGTGGCCAATTTTTGAACACCCCGAGCACCGCCAGCACCGCCTCGTCAAGCACCCCGAGCACTGGAAGCACTGTTCGCTCCGTCATCAGGTTTGGCGCGTCAAAAGCTGGGCCAAACACAGAAATGGTATGCAAATTGACTTTAATGACTTTATTTTGGTAACTGAATTTATGCACTGATTAATTTCAGGAACCTTTAGTTTGCCCAGAGTGCCACATGAAAATGTATACAAAAGCCAAGCTAAAATCGCACATGGCCAGATGGCACAACAAGTAAGTTGGCACCCCTTTTTTCAATTAAATCTCTATTAAGAATTCTATTCTCATTAACCTAGATGAGCAGAAAAAACATGCCTGCGAAGGTGGCTTTTGGCTTTTGCCCTCGATACCAGCTGCAGATATTATTTTAAAATTTGGAAGATACTAATTTGAAATTTTGTTATATAATATCGGATTTAATTCTTTTATTTAGCCTGATTCTTTTTTAAAATTGTACTTCCTTTCTTTATTTCAAATAAATGAATATTATGGATTAAATAAAATAATTTAATATCACACTTTCCTTTCAATTTTATTTTGAAGCCAAAAATTAAAAAAAAAAATTAAATACTATCATTCATAATCAAGACTAAAGCTTAGCAACAATAGAACTCCAAACTTAAGTCTGAAATGATTCTAGTTGCCAAGCGTGGGAACTTCATTTTAAGTACTTTTGGAATACACTTCTCATGCATCCACACAGAACATTTTGCGCAGGTGACCCACAAAACACGACGCTTTTGTACATCAGCAAATCTTCTCCCATGGAAACACTGCAAATTTTACAATTAGTGTCTTCTTCCATACAGCAGGTCACATTAGTTTCGATTTTATTCTTTGGGACACTCTGTTTTGGCTGTTTAAGCAGACGGTGCTCCTCACTTGAAATTACGTACACATTTTTCCTTTGCTTATTTGGTCTTTTTGCCGTCTTCGGATTACCAGGCTGTAGAAAAATCACACTTTCAGGAGCATACTTGTCTGCGCTCAGTTATTTTTTGCGCTCGCGCTCAACTAGATTCTGCGCTCAGCGCTCACGCTCAAGTTTTCAAAAATAGTGCGCTCGCGCTCAAGCCAAAATTTTGCGCTCACGCTCTGCGCTCGCGCTCATTGTTATTTTTTTACGGTGAATAATACCTAATAATTTTTTTGTTTGGGAGTAGAAAAATAAACATAAATTAGTTTGAAAAACGCTTTTTGAGAAAAAATAATAATTTTGTTAAATTTAGACATTTTTAGTGAAAATGTCTTAAATTTTACATCAAAATTTGTTAATTTATAATAAATCGTTGAGCGCAATTGAGCGCCGCGCTCACGCCATTTGCGCTCTGCGCTCGCGCTCATGCACTCAAAAATTTTTCGCTCGCGCTCTGCGCTCAGGCCGTGAGCGCGGAGCGATTTGTGCGCTCTTGACAAGTATGTTCAGGAGACAGACCTATTGAAGGGATGTACAACATCAGCTAATAAAATTATAATGATGTAAATTTATAATATGAGGCGCTAACAAATACAACAAAAAGTAATACAAAAACTTGCCTGTTCAGAAAGTTGAATTAATTGATTGTAAATTGGTGACATCTGAGAATGGGCGCCGAATTGGCTCACGAGTCTCTTGGTCTTGGGAATCCAAAGAGGCGTCTTCCTTGTCCCAGATTGATTTGGAGGTAGTGGCTAAACAAAATAGAATAAGATTAAATAATTAGACTGCTATATCATCTTTTTTTAAAAACTAAAAATTCTTACGAGAGATAGGGCGACGAGTGAGAGCAGTGTGAGCAGCAGCGATTGACGAGAGTGGGCGCTGAATTGGCCCATGATTCTCTTGAGAATCCAAAGAGGCGTCTTCCTTGAACCGGATGCTCTGATTTTTCTCAACCTCAGCATTGTCTTCCAATAAATTCACCAACATTTCTGCATACTCAATGTGTTCACTGTCTTCTGCACCATACTCGTTACTGAGCTCTCTTTCAAGTCTGCCTTCATTCTGGTGTTTGGGTTGGAGACTTTCCTCAGAATGGAATAGATTATCCTCAACAGCCACTAGAAATATTTTCTTTTAATAAAACTATGAAATTTAATAGAAATATTTTTAATACCTTCCTGAAGACAATTTTCGAGCTCATTCTTTTTCAAATATTCCCAAACTTCATACAAGAGCCTGTCATCTCCATCTCAATATAACCATTAGCCTTCCAAGTTGATTTCATTTGTTTTAGAATATTCTCAGGAATCAATGATTCAATAGCTTTTAAAGCCACCTCACAAGCAGACTTTCCATCAGGAGATGAGTCAGGTAGCAGATAGGCATTAGAGCTGGCCGACTGCTGGACGTGGATGGAAATCAACTTTTAATCAACGGCATCAGCAGAGAAAGGAAATAATCCGCAGCGCCTTTTATGAGAAATTTTCAAAATAAATGTTTTGTGTCATTTATAAATTATATATTACCTGAATGAATTTACAACAGTTGTCTCTGTGATTTTGCTGAATGCCTTGTTACTAATGCTAATTTGGGACCAATGTTTTGTTTGTTGATCAGCTCTCCAGCGGACAACTTGTGTTCTTCAAGTTCCTTGGCCCAGTGATGTTTCAGCGGTGCATTTATACCAACATCCACAGGTTGCAAAATATGAGTTTTGCGTTTGCCAGGAAGCAAATAACAACAATCCCATGGTTCTCACAGAATTTGGAAAATTCTACATCAAGATGTGCTGTATATCCATCAAGAAATAGCAAAACTTTCTGCTCATCTCCTTCTTCATCCAAAATTCCGAGGGTAACGAGCGTTTGATGCAAAATTTTACCGTACTCTAGCATTGTCACACCAGTCATCCATCCCGACTCGGATTTAGCATAATACCATCCATTCGGGCACGTATCTTGTACCTAATGCGAGCATTGGAAAACATAAATAACTTTGAATTCCATCTTCATTTTGAATATATATTATTTTAAGCCTTTTCAGTTTCATTTTACTAAAAAAAAATATTACAAAAATAATCATACTCTGCTTGGAATACGTTGGTATTTGAAGATCAAAAATGGAACCAGGGGTGCTCCATCAGCTGAAGCGGTTACCATTAGAGAGTATGTTTCCTTTTCGTTCTCATTAGAATCTAAGTATTGTAAGGACTCGCCTCTGATGCCGAGAAATTTTCCTAAATCAAATCTTTATAATAAAAAATAAAATTTTTACTTAAATAAAATAAAACCTAAAATCTCAGAAATTGTCACTGGAGTTTCGTCACCATTGACAACCCTTCGAGGATCTCTTAAGAGATGCAAGAGACCCTTGGATGTCAGCTAGTCCTCAACCAATCTGAACCATCCTCTAATAGCAGGTTCAGTAACTGCAGCCCTTGCAAGGGAGTGGTGCTCGGCACCTTTCTCGGAGATATCAGGATTTCGTTTCAGAAATCCGTACCACCAAGACTTCCCTGGTATTCCATTGTGAAACGGATTTTCTAGTCTCTCGGTTTCAAGAAATTTCTGTACAAGGGCAATCAGGTTGTATTTCTTCAGGGCGAATCCCCTCCTTGCCTGATCTATTAAATAATCGTGCAAGATCTTCTCCAATTGAAGTCCGCTACCGGCCTATCTTGCTACTCTTTCTAAAATAGGTTCAGGCCCAATTTGACATCTTAATGGAGTATATCCTGCGATTAAAAAAAATAGGAGGTTTTAGAAACACTAACCATAGCAGCCAAAAAATAAATTTCATTAATTTTTTTAAATATACCATTTAACTTGTCTCTAATTGTGCTAAAGGGCACACCAAATGCTTCACCAGCGTCTCGTAGTGATTTCCGCTCGCCGGTGCGGAGTGCTTCGATTGCAGCTTCTAAATCCTCTTGGCTTGTACTGTCGTCTAAGCCTTTTGCATGGAATATCTAAAATTAATTTATAACTTTAACGCATATTATATAACGTTAAAATAACACATATATGTATATATACATAAATATTTATGCAAATCATTTTTACGTTTAGAAATTTGACCTTTCTTTTAGTATTCAAAAAAGTCTTTAAACCAGAATATTACCTAACCTTTCAATAAAATACATAAATAATTATTTTGAAATCTTTAAAGAATAAAAGTTTATGATTTTTTGCAGTTTAATGCATAATTATAAAATAAATGGCGATAAATTTTAACAACCCATGTTCATGAAAAATTTTATTTAATTAATATTTTTTGTAAAACACCTGAATATTTATCAAAGAACTACCCCTTTACGAGCATCCTTTATGAACTTTCATAATTGCAGTGATTAATAACTAGATATCATAAAGAAACGTCTGTGATTTACTGCTTCTTAACGTTGTGCGAAAATGCAAAACACGTGGAGGTAGCAGCCGCTATCAGCGCACAACGCACAAAATCGAATTTTTCAGTGAAATCAAAAAATCTCGAGAAAAAAAATAGATGAATCTCAGGGTTAATACTTACTCGACGTTGTGTCCATTTTATGATTTCATCAGGAATAACGCTCTTAAAACCTAATTTTAAACTCGTGTCCCATACTTGAAGCTTAACAACAGCAACCGCTGACAGGTCTTGACATGATATTTCTGCAATTGCACTTGATGACTTGATTGCAGATTGGCATCCATCGAGTTTGATCAATGAACAGAAGATGTCAGGAGCTTACCGGACTAAATACAGTACGAAATATCCCCCAAAAGCACCGTTTTTTCCTAATTTGTGCGATAGATGGCGCTGTGCGATAACCCACTCCAGCACCATAATGTGTAAAATCGTACAAAACCATTCAAGATTCCTCTTCTTCGCAATTTGCAAGAAACTTTCAGATAAGATTATAATAATTTAATGTCATATATTTTTGAGAAAAAAATTTACGTACATCTTGCTAAAAAAAAAAAAACGAAGTCGATTAAGTATATTGAATCTCATATTGATATCTTCACTGTAGGGCAGAGTATAATGTATGAATTTAATAAAGAATTAGGAACCCCAAAATTTTCATCTTTTTTATTTATTTCCAAGATGAAATTTTTTTATTAATTAATATAATAGAATTTATTTCCAATTTTTTTAATAATTTTTTTTTATAACTTTTTTTATATTAACTATTTTTTTTTAATTTTGATGCTTACATAATATCTTCTTTTAATACATTGATTATTTTTTTCAAATATATGATTATTGATTATTAACTCTATTATTTATTTTTATCTAAATTTTTATTTGATATTCATTCAACTAAAATAAAAAAAAGGTAATTTAAAATTCAATTTACTTAATCAGTAAATTTTTTAATTAAATTTTTAGATCTGGAATTCTTTAAACAATATATTATTGATCAGTATAATAATAAAAATTTGTATAAAATCTGAATTAATTGCTCATTTGCAAGAAAGATTGATAATGACGAATTAAAAAAAAAATACATACTGGGAATCCTCAATGTTGTTTTCAGCCTATCATTCATGCCTGTTTCCTTGCAGTTTTTTCGTTTATAGCCAACATAATAAAATTTATATTTTTAGGATTTTGCTAAAAATGTATTTGGTATTTTCCTAAATTCAAGAGTCAGCAGCTAGGTTGGTATGAATTGGGGACTCTTTGCGCCTTGGCATTGACGCCGCATCGCCTCCAAACCTTTGTCCATATCACCACAAAATTTTCTTTCTCATTGCTGTTTTTAATGTGTGCGTGATTTTATCAAGCTTTTATAATTTTAATCGATTTTAGTTATTTTGTGCGATGGAAAAGCATGCAGAGACGAACGAAAATGCCGAGGTAAGTTTATTCTCCAATTAAAATTATTTGCCGAAAAAATGTGATAATATTTATTTTAAAAGCACTGATTAATTTTTAAATTTAAGAAGAAGCTCGCTTAGAATGAGCCGCGTGCATTAAAATCGTTGGTTTATTGTGTCCCATCAGCTGTGTCGTGCACTGCTGTGCGATTCGACTGAAGTTTTCACTCTTTTTACAAAAATAAGCATACATATTTGTTGCCAATGCCGGACGCTGCGATTTGGCGGATTCTTTGCATTTTAGTAGACAATTCTCAACACACCGAGCTATGTAGTTCAACCACACATTTTTCTGCGTGGCTATTCCGCCTCTGCATTTTTGCGCTTACACGTCAAATACATATTATGCTGCGGACACACGAGTTATAAAATATATTTGGCAGAAATATACGAATTCTTATGTTAATATATAATTTTGTTGATTGCTTTAAAAAATATGCAAACCAAATATTTCTGTTGATAAAATAAATACACTTGATACACGAAGATTTTAAATTAGTTTTAATATTTAATTGCAATAAGCAATAACCACTCACGAATCTATAATTTAAACTGAAAACCGTAATTTAAATAAACTATGCGTCTAGCCGTCTATTAATATTCATGGTAAATGGTGATATATCGCTGAATCTAGAAATATAAAGATTAATCTTAATTCAGTTCTTAATATTTTTCCACTTCGCTTCGCTATAGAGCGGATTGTGTTTTTAAGTTTTACTCAAATATTTAATTATATTTCAATTTTCAGATGATTAATATTTTGTTTTGCGTGCTTATAAAAATTAAATTTGTTTAAAAATAGCGTGAAATGCGCCACCAACGGTTCCATTATCGCCGGCAGTCCGGGGCCCGACAAAGGGCGAAGCCGGCGCGCAAAATTGGCCCGTTTTGTTGGCGTGGCCGGCCCGCCCCCATTATGTAATCGCGGCCTGGTAAAATTTTTAGCGCCAGTCCGGCACTGTATGAAATACCTTTTATACCGGCTACCGCACAAATTCACATTATTAATTAAGAATCACTCTTTTCGAAATAATATAGTATTATAAATTTTTCTCGCAATTAATTGTTTTGGAATTATATAAGATTTTATTTGATAAGTTCTGCTGCATAATCGGACTGAATTACACACGTAAAAAGGGAATGACGAATGTGAATACTTCTTATTTTCTCCAATCAAGTAAACCAATCAAAACGCCATGATTTAATTGCTAATCGAAGCCTTGTTAATTTCCAGCATGGCAAGAAGCAAAAGCAGAGAGCCCAAGACGTCGCTAGTCGTGATGCGGGCTCCGCTGGAGGGAGAGCGTCCAAGCACTGCAACAGGTATCAGCCCTCAAATGCCACTCCAGCCAAGGTAGGATAATTTTATTTCGCACGAAATTTTTGGCTGCTATTAGACTGACTAGCCGTCGTTGTTTTTAAAATAATCATTTCTCCTTCGATGATGAACGAAATGACACGGACGTTTTCATTAATGGAAAGCAAAATAAATTTTTTTCAACTGAAAAACGTCAAATTTGTACCTGGCGAATTGGGATTGGTGGTTACTCGTGAGTCTGAGAAGACTGGAGCTCCAAAATTTGAAATAAAAATTTGACCATAAATCAGCGAGACCTGCTTTTAATGCGAATTAGGTGGAAACCTTAGCTCAGAGTATCAGACAAAAAGTTGACTACCTGATGGAGGAAGCCGTTTCTAAAGATCTGACTCAAATTACGCTCTCACATTTTTTTCTATTACAATTCCAGTATACCAGCAATTTTCAATAATATATTGATTAAGGTGAAGTGAAAGTCCATCATTATTTTGTAGTATTTTACTTCACTGGAATAATTTAAGCATTTATTTCGATGGTATATATAAAATATTCTTTTAAAAAACTAAATTTTAATTGTTTCCGTAATTAAATTCGTCGCTTGAAAAATGTTAAATATAAATTAGAGCGGAGAAAATTATAATTCGCTGGCGCGACGAAGACAGCGAAGCCGACACACGCAGCTGGGGTAGGGATAAACGAGCAGATTATCATATTTTATCAAGTCACCCGCAAATGAAAAATGCTTTGTTTCTGCACGTACGTTTGGCGCACGCCTCAAAAGCGCCGGGTCAGGTGCTGACGACTTGTGCGGCTGCGGCCACATTGGAGCAATATTAACGCTAGAAAGATAGTTAAGGCCTTATGGATCATTTGATAACCAGACATTTTTTAGAAACGTTAAATTAGGTCCAAAAACGTGCTGGTTTTTTTGCACGTGCTTGTTTCCGAGCAAAATTAACCTAAAACTTTAATATTAGGGATATTTTCTGAATATTTTTGTCCCTCCTGATGATTTTTGATGCATTCTATCCAAAGTTGATGATTTAAAAAAAATGTGCTGTTGAAAACGAGCGCAGACTTAAAATTCAGTGGCCAAAGTGCAAGTGCAGCCACATGAAAAAATTGCTGTTACATTCAAAAATAGAAGCCGTGAGTCAAAAAACTCGATTTCTTCCGTTTTGTCGCAGATAATGTAAATAAAGATGTTTTGATTTCTTTGAAGGGCACCGAAATAAATAAAATAAAATGAAATAAATAAAGAAAATTGAAACTTTTTTCAATCTGATCACTTGATCAGAAATCAAGATCAAAAGTTTTTTTTTTATTAAATTCGATTACCTTTAAAAAACTGGGCCAAAAAAAATTTCTATTTTAGTGGACCGATTAATTATATTTTGAAATTAAAAATTAAACAATGAAATCAGGTGCCTAATAAGAAATAAAAAATTAAATTTATCATGGGAAATTGTAATTTGTTTCATGTCAATATGTAAACCATTATAATTTAAATAAACGTAAAGCGTGAGCCCCCTTTATTACTTTTAGACTAAAAATGAAATCTCACAGGAAATTTATTATCCTTAAATTATAGTTGTAAAATACTTTTAAACTACTTTTCAATTGTACGTGCAAGAGATAGGATGAAACTACGCTTCAATTGCGCTTGAAGGCAACAAATAAAGTTAAAAGTACAAGTAATTGATGCGTATTTTAAAAGCCCTTTAAGCGCTCCTTCACAGCAACATGGTTAGACCACTTGATTTGCGCTTACTGACCTCCTTAACCTTACCTTGATGCACTTAAAACTGTGCTTAGTTAACATTTAAAAACGCTGAAATGACGTTATAATTCAGTGACGTCATTGATGCCAAAATTATTCAGGTTGCAATGCAATGAATAAGCAGCAAATAATATTTCAAGATCATTTTTACTAACAAAACAAATAACATAATATCACACTTTATGAACTAAAATTTTTAGAGAATTCTATCAGTTTAAAAATATGATGTAACGATTGTACAAATAGTCAGAAATTAATATTAATAAAAAATAAAATCTATTAGCACTAAATAAAATAGCAAAGCAAAACTTTAACTTATTTACATATAACAGGTCCAAAAGGTGGCGATTAGCGGGTGCAAATTTACGGATGATTGTATAAAACCGCGCCTTTGTTAGAACAAAAATTGTGTCTCACCGTGGCTTTTAACACTGCCGCGGCACTCTGACGTTGTGTGGAGTGTTTCCAGTCGCTGAGTGCCATTTAGGAATATCCAACTCATTATCAAAAATTTTTGGAAGCCACGGCGAGCGGCGAGCCACGTGTGATTCTCTCTAGAAGATCAAAGCATGTTATTTTACTTTGCATTTATTGGATTCAATAAATTTTGATCGTCATGTTTTATAATAATAATAATCTAAAAATTTTCTCACCATTTTCTGACTGTTTATAAAAGTTAAATAAGCATTGACTAGAAAATTAATTCACAGATTACAAAATAATAAATTTAGTGTTGTATTTAATAACAGTTCTTTTTCTATTTGGTTGCAATTTACAATATAATAAGCTAGGTTTTAAATTTACTTCAAAATTGTGGAGGATAAATAATTTTTGATGGTTCATTTTTAAGATGTCACTGGTGCGATAAGAATTATAGACAACAGTCGATCTTAAATGAGGAATTGAATTTAAAACTGCTACAAAGTTCACGAAAAGAGGAATAATAAAATATAGAACAGTGTGCAAAAATAACTAATTCAAAGGAAACGGTGCTGACGCTGCGTGCTAATAGGTATTGAATTTGCTCCTCTTTGGGCTTTCCACTTTCACTTGAGCTCTCAAGCAATCAAATTTTCCAATCCTCAGATTTCTGAAAGATGTAAAAAAAAAATTAAAATTTAGTATGTTTCTTGACTTCAATTTTATTCAATAAAAAAATCAATAATAGTGCGGCTCAATTAAATCACCCCCTTCCTCGCTGGTCCGGAGGAAAGAAGCGACCTAACTAACAGCTGGGCAGGTCTGGTGCGCCGAGCCGAGGGTCCTCCCGTTCAACCCTGCGACTCGAGGTGGCCCAACACGTTTACGAAGACAGGGAGCGTTTGGGCAGCACAGGGGTGCCCGGTTCTTGCCACCTGCAGGTCGTCGTCGACGTCGTCCTGCGCGCCAGTCTCGTGTCGTCGTGGCGGCGAGCGGTTTAGGCCCGCAGCTCTGCCGAGCGCCGTCCGCTCGGTCGTCGTGACTTTGGTTTTTCCATTTTCTAACTTTTCTTACTTTTCTCTTAATTTAATATATTAATTTACTGTCTCATTGCAAAAATTTTTCTTATTCAAATTCGGGTCTGTTGCTTTTCAATTATTTTTGATTGACGGATTCAACCCCCAACGCGCCTCTTCCCTTTACTTTTCACTTCCCTTTTAATTAAATTGCACGTGGAAACTCAAATCGTGTAGCAGATTTTTTTTTAATTTAACACAGTTTGTTTATTCTTGATTACTGCAAATTACACAAATTTATTTGGTAGTCGCAATTTATGGCCTCGCGCCGCGCACTAATAAGCGTCCTGTCGTTGGCAGCTAACCTTGCCCATTTTGTCTTTCGACGGGGGGCTCATCGAGCATAGATCACACAGCTCGAACCGTAATATCAAGCTTGAATTTTGAGGGCAACGAGTCATTCTACTTTGAGAAATCATGAGATGGATGAGCCGCCGCAGCCGACTCTTTCTCCGCGCCTCGTAATCAAAATAGCCACTCGGCTCTGCTGTTAGCAGGAGACTCAAAATTTGAGTAATATTTTCTGTGCATTTCTCTCACGCGAAATATTCTAACTGGAATGATTGAGAAGCAACTCTAACTTTCGAGAGAGAAAGACGAGAGAGTAGCTTCACCTAACATTTTCAAGTTAATTTCGAGGAGTGTTGGTCGAGCCTTCAAACACGAGAAGGCTCGAGAACTGCTCCTTTAACTTGCCCACACGCTTAACCAGTCCAGGTCTGGAGACTCAAAGAGTGTTGATCTGAGTGAGTTTTCATGGCAAGAGCGGGCCTTTTTATACAAAAATCGAGCACCCCACTCTGTTCCTTTCCAAGAAATGCGTTGGCTGTTTTAAGTCTCTAGGCAGCGCGCCGGCAGAAGAGAAATCGAGAAGTGTACGATCGGCGTGCAGTGAAATTAAATTTTTTTCAAATTATTATTGTTGTTTATTTGTCCAAATTGTTACATCACATTGTTTACATACAGATTGTTGAAAACGTTTATCTGGAAAAAAGAAATTGTTGGACAAAACGGCACCACCACCAATTTAATTCATTGCACTTATGAATTCTTTACTTTACGTCGTACTCTCCTTTCCAATTTTAATTTCATTCGAATGCTCTTGAAATTTACAACTTATGAACAATTCAATTAAATTTAACTTTGTTGGGAATAAAAAAACATTTGGTTGCGTGAGAGAATTGCCGATTTTTTTTTTGCATCTGAAATAAACACATTTATTATTGCAATCTTCATTCCATTTTTCTAGCTCTAAAAGTCCAATCACCCTTTTTTAAATAATTACAAGAAGAGCGTGAGCATTTTATCAGGCTGCCAATAGAAAGAGACACACCGGCACACACCGTGTGTGTGTGTGTGTGTGTGTGTCGCGGCCGTGTTCTTGCTGGCCCACAAGCAAAAGGCCCGCTCGGCGGATTTCTGCTGGCTAAATTTCCCTGTTTAAATTCAATTTTCTCCCTTTTTTTGCTCTAAATTAGCCAGCAGTTATTTTCACGCGAAATTATTTACATTCATTAAACTTCTCCTTTAATTACAAGATTCAAATTAAACATGCAAAGACAATTAGTTCTCTGGGGCAAAGTTTCTAATTTCCACTCGAAAAAATGAGTCCGTGAGAAAGGACGCGGGCACCTTTCTCAGGTGTTCTTGCGCGCGCAGGGGGTGGAAAACAAGTTAAATTTCACTCGGCCGTCCAGCTCAAGGGGGACCTTTCGTGTTCGGCTGCTCACTCATGCATAAAATAATCATTTTTCTTTAGAAATACTGGCTGCGCTTCTGATATGTATAATTGGCAACAGCATTCAGAAATGTGTCTGCTACATTTTTATTTACGTTTAATTGTTTACGCATCTCGCGGCTCTCGCCCGCCGCTGCTGCTCGCACCCTTCTCTCTTCACAATAGCCGCGGTCAGCTTATTTATTTCTCTCGAACTTTCTGCCTGATTTGTTTTCTAAAATCAATTTTACTCCGAAGAGAAAAATCTACTTTTAATTTTATAGCCATGCGATGCTGGGCAGAGCAAGTTATCATATTAGGGGTGGTTTACGTCAAAACCCACCCTCTCAGTAACAAGTTATGTGGCTTAAAATGTTCCTCTTTGACCCTGTTATCAGTTTCCAATGTAAAAAACATTTGCATCCCCATACCAGAATTAAATTAAAAAATAAAAGATTTTCACCCGACACTTTGTCCGTGAAAAATCAATGTTTTATAAATTTAACTAAAACCCACCCTCTCATGTGGTTCATATGATACAATTTGTCGTAAAAAAATAACGGGAAACATGAATCCGAGCTTAAATTTTTTGCATGTCACTCCTTCATCCCCTAATTTTAAAATGTTTCATTTTGAGGGGTGGTTTCTTTAAAAACCCACCCTCGCAGTAACAAGTTATGGCTTAAAATAAAATGTTCCTTCATGACCCTTTTATCAGTTTCCGTTGCAATAAACATTTTCATAGCAAGATTGGAATTAAATAAAAAAAATTTACCCTGCACGTTGTGCTTTAAAAATGAAAGTTTTCTAAATTTTAGTAAAACCCACCCTTCCAGAGAGTTCGTATTCTACTGTCTGACCTAAAAAATGATGAGATAGAGGAATCTGAATTAAAAAACGATTGTATCTTACCCCTTTTACCTCTAATTCCCAATTTTTTATTATTTAGGGGGTTCGGCAAGAACCCACCCTCTCAGGCACCAAAACTACGACTCAAAATGTTTCTCTTTGACCCTTTTATCATTTTTCTTGGGGAACAACAAATGCATCCCTCTAACTGAATATAATAAAAATTTAAAGATTTTCTCCCTTGAATTAAATCAAATTTTTAGTGAAGCCCATCCACTTATAGAAATTGCATTCACAAGTTTGTCGTAGAAAAAAAAATAAATAAAGAGAAAGAAGAATCCGAGCTAAAAAATGATTTCATCTCACCTCTTCAGCTCCTTATTTAAAAATTCTTTTTATGGTGGTTTCGTCAAGAACCCACCCTCTGCGGCAACCAAAATCAGACTCAAAATGTTACAGTTTGACCTTTCTTTCAGTTTCTGTAGGGAATATCTATTGCATCCCCACACCTGAAATTATTGTATCAATCTGTAAATTATTGTTATTGCTTAAAATAGCATTCTTTTTTTTAATTCGGCCTCGTTCGTGCATTAATTTTTTCTTTTTACTAATCTATTTTCAAAAATCGGCTGTTAAAAAACCAAAATAAATAATTATTTAATATTTTTTTCAACAAGATTTTACTGAAACTGTTCAAGAAAAACTTTATACGTGTGTACATATAAAATTAGTTGCAAATTGTGTTTATTGATCTATCGCAAAGGCAAAATTATTCGCTCTTAACCTGAAGAAATTTATATCATTCATAAATTCCATTGACGATCTCACCTTTGAGTACATTCTACAGTTCTTTAAATATTTAAAACAAATTTCTTCCTGTAGACTTGTAGAGATTGCTAAATATTAATAAAAAAAAAGGAATCATAAATGGGGCCAGGCAACAGATTTTTCGTAGAAAAAATGTAGAAATTTGGCTAAAAGATTTGTGCGTTGATTTCAATAATGAATAAAAAAAAAGAAGAAATTGGGTTGCAATTCTCATTTTGAATTTTCATTGAAAATTATAAAAATAATGGAGCGTTGTGGTTTGAAATTGGTGGAATTAATTTTTCCGTTAAATAAGAAAATCATAATTTCTTTTTTTCATTATTCTTACCCAAAAATTTGAGAAAAAAAATCATGTGGAAATTATTAATTAATATTATTATAATAATATCATTTGGGGTTGAGGCCTGATATAAAATTCAAAAATCTTTGAGGAGAAACGGGTTTGATTGTTGTTTCCTCGAGCAAAAATTGTGAAGGTGGATAAATAATTTGAATTTAAATCGGAATGGTGTTTTTCGAGTTGCATAATGTTAGAAAAAAATAATATAACTTTAATTTTAATGTTTATGGTGCGGCTGCAACCATAATTCATGAGCTTCAAAATTATTTTATCATAAAAAGTGGATAACAAAGTGATTACAAAAAATAACTATACTGATGAAATAATTAATTTGTGTAGTACTTAATTTTATTCAAAATAATTTCACAGCTCATGAATTATAGCAGCAGCCAGCAGCCGAAACACGTAAAGCAGAATATGTGTATTTTTCTAAAACAATAAATAACTCGGTGATCACCAAAACTATCAAGGGAAAGCGAATTCTTTAAATTCACCACGAACCAACCCTCAGTAATGAAGTTCTACCTCAATACAATAATTAGTTTCAATTTAAATGTATTTAAAATTAATTTCAGTATTCCAGTATGAGGATGCAAATGTTTGTTTTAACAAAAACTGATAAAAAGGTCAAAGAGGAACATTTTAAGCCACATAACTTGTTAATGAGAGGGTGGTTTTGACGTAAACCACACCTCAAAATGAGAAATTGGATATTTAGGGGATGCAAAAGTTTTTTATCTCTGATTCTTGTTTCTCGTCATTTTTTACGTCAGGATGGTGAATATGAACCCCGTGAGAGGGTGGGTTTTAGTTAAATTTAGAAAACTTCTGGTTATCAAAATGATGATCCTTTAAGATCCTTATTAACAGTTCTAAATAATGATATGTTGCGATTATTGCGTTCCTGAGTTGTTGAAATTCCTCTTGAAAAGATTAATACAAACAATATAATGATAAGAAGTGGTTTAATATTTTAAGTATTAAAATCAGACTGCAAAAATAGCGTGGCCTATTTGAGTGGTGTCTCAAAAAGTATGAAATTTAATTAATTGTTTTATTGAATTATATCATTGAGAAAGTGACTTGTTTTTCTTTTTGAGAAGAGAAAGTCAGCAATAATTCCATTCTGATGGCCTAATTCCACACAATAGAGATCTGATTGTATAAATATTACTGTGATTGAAACTGTGCAAAAAATGAGTCTTTGATTAAGGAAAATGTTCTCGAATTATATGAACTATTTGTTTGTGTTGTTGAAAAGTGAATGGTACAATTTGCTCAGATGGAATAAGTTCGTCTCCGAATGACTAGCCTAGGTTCACCGAATTCATTCGGTTATAAGAATTGCCATATATGTACAAACTTACTGAAATTTGCTAATTGAATCAGATCGTCTGGACGACGTCCGCCTTAAATTTCAAAAGTCCACATTGACCAAAAAATAAAACACCCTAATTTTAAAATAAGCAAATAAGTTTTCCTTTGAAGGGGGGGGGGAGGGGTTCACATTATGGTGCGACTAACAAGAAGTCTTTAGGATGCTATCTTTGTTGGGCGCTCGCTGCGGGTGTGCACTTCTGACACGTACAGTGTTCATTACTGAATTTCACTTTCTCGTTTTTTGGCATGCATTTGTCATATTTTATATAATTTGTTCTAATCAATGTATGAATTTCATATATATTTAAAATGAAATAATTTAAATACTTGAAATTACACCATCGGAATTGATATCCCTGTTTTTAATTACATTGGTTCAAAAAAACAACGTTCACACAAAAATTATTGGAAATATTAAAAAAAATTTCCCCGAGGGATTCACACCGGACTTTGTTTTAATAAAAAGTTTCAAAAATGAAATCATGCAGTCTTTAAATTAAATCCAAGCTGATTAAACGTTGCGACAAAACTGCCATTAAACACCCGCGAGTTGTAAGCAAATCGTTTTAATTGTTCTGTTTAAAATTTTTTGTAATTTGCTTGTGTTTATTTGATACACAGGTGTGCACTAGTAATTATAATTTAATTAAAATTACTCACAATAAGAGCGTTATTTTCTTGTAAATCTCTAATTAACGTTCCAATTTGGTCACCTCTATTCGACACTCTTTGCTGACAAAGAATTAAACACTTTTTCTTTCAAGTAAATTTAGCGTTATGAAACAAAAGTAGAGCAGATAGAATAATCGCACATGTACGGATTAAGAAATATTCTAGCAATTATTTAATTTGAGTCACTTCGTCATATTTGTGGTCGTCAATACGCGCACTTGGATGTCTTGGATCTAACTAAAATATAATTTCCCACCACTCGCGTGACATACTTGACGCACAGGTTGCATAACCTTTATTATGTATCGTCTTGCAGGCGTTAGCATTTTACCATCCAAAAATTACTTTATAGTTTTGCCAGTTTTGTTCAGAATCTTGGAACCGTCTATAATTGCACTACATATTCGCATTCTTTTGCTCGATCCAATCATAAGTGACCTTTTTTCCATTAAAACTTAGAACTCAAAATTTTCACATGTTCAAGAACATTTTATGCTTTTGCATTTTGAAGACAATCTTTCCCACCAGGTGCCTTTTAATATCTGATCATCTGATGCAAAAAAAAGCAATAATTCTTTATTATATTGTTATTCATATTATCCAAATTTCAGACCAGGTCCCACAAAACATCGGAACCACCACCGCAAGAGGTACATTCATTCATTGAATAATTTTCATTACAAAAAGCATTTCAAAACTTGTCAATAAATATTTGCCAGTGTTTCAAAATTTGCTATCGCATTATAATGTAATTAAACACTTAGGACGAAGGCACCAGCGCCAAAGCCGAAGGCAAGGCCCAGCAGCAGCAGAAGGCGAAGTTCACACGTCGTTTACACGGACCAAAGTGAGCTATAATTAATATTTCAATATTTTGTTTGTTTGTTTTTTATTTTTGCTTAGGATCACGCCAAGATCGATCCCATTATTCTCTACCCATTATTTGTGGCACAGAAAGCACTATTTATTTCTTTTAATTTTGGTATTCCACTTAAATTAAAACCACTGTAACTCTCTCCTAGTATTTGCTTCATTGATAGTCCACTCCATGCTTTGACAAACAAGGCTGAAACGGAAAAAATTGATAAATTATTTTTTAATTAATAATTGCGGTCAGAGCATTTCAGATTTTCATAAATTTTTTAGTTAACAAGGATTTGGCTGCATTTTTGTGCGCTTGATATTATAATTTGAGAATTCATCTGTTTTTTAATTCCCAGAATATTTATTGAAATCTATTTGTGCTGCAAATGAATAAAATACTTTTTATTAATAATTTATAAGCTTATATTAAATGAAACAGAAATTTTTATATTAAATTTGGTCAAATGCTCAAATACCACAAATTTATCAAAATTTAAATATATTTGTGATTATTTCGTGCTGTAAGCTAATACTGAGCCACGTTTGAAGCACGTAAAAGACTGATTAAAAAATATTTTTGCAACGTCATACGAAAAAAAAGACGTTGGATTATTTAAAAAAATTATAAAAATGCAAATAAAAAATAAAGTTCCTCACACTGACCATGTGCAGGACATGGAAAGTCTGGTACCGAAACCTGCTGCACGCGTGCGCCTCCTTCTGCCTTGTAAACGAACTCGCGGAACCCCAAATGTTGTTGGAAAAGGATGAGTACATAGACGAGTGCATCCTTCGCTTCACCATGGTTAATAAAGAGACGTTCGGAGCACTCCTGGCTGGAAAAGATCCACTTTGCCCCGAGTTTCTTCCAGAACTAACCAAGCGTAAGTGCGGAAATTTTACCAAGGTTTGTATGTGCAATTTCCACTCAAAGCGCTCTTCAATAATCTAGATCTGGAGTGGTTGAGAAACAACCCTGCAGACGCCCAAACAGACATGCAGAAGCGCAAAGAGGAGGAAAATAACAGTCAGAAAAGCGCGCCAGTGTTATTAGAACCGGAAGACCTTCCATGGATCCTGACAGACATTAGCGATTCGAGCAAAGCAGAATCCCGTGGTGAAAAAACCCTGAAGCCGAGTTTTGTGTCAGAGAGGTGGCACTCTGGTGGTAATTTTTTTCAACGCGCCACTTTGTTAAATTTAAGTGTTTTAAATCATATGCAGGACTCTTGATTGATTGATTTCATGATTTTTGACGAAAATAATTGAGAATTTCTACGTTTATATTCTATTTCTTAAATTTATCGGTGCAATCATCAATTAATTATTTTCAGAAGTTTTGCTTTTTTTAAAGGTAGAGTTACAAAGAAAATTTCGACACTTTGTTGTCTCAATTACTGAAATTTACCCTTTTTCTAAAAATTTTGTTAAAACTCATTTTGAGCCAATTTTCGTGAATTAATGTCTGCCGTAACGTAAAAATTATATACCCGGTAAACTGATTTATTATTATAGTTGTTGTTGTTTATTCTTCACAAATCCAGTAAAATGATAAAAATAGCAAAATCTGAAGAAACGGATTCTTGAGGAAATTTTAAATTAAAGAGTAATTCTAATTTACGGGCCAAATTAACATGAAACACGCGCTGGCTTATTATTTAAAGAAATTTCCAAAAAATAAAAAATAATGATTATTAAGACTTCCTAGTACATTTCAATTTATGCATTCACATCCACTTGTTAGGCGAGGAGCAGGTCGTTAGTTGGCCCGAACCACCCTTTAAGGTGAAGAGAGGTGAGTGAAATCAAATCGATTAATTGCGCCTTTCAATCTTTTGCGAATTGTACCGAAATTGTAAATTTAGATTTCTCTCGGTCTGAACTTATATTCATGAATAAAAAAGCACGGATGAGTATAAACTCGTGTCTTTCTTTCTTCGCGAAACAATATTTTCAATTTCATTTCTCCACTTTTACAGGTGATTTGCCAAGGTGCGAGAAAGGTTTACGGTTCGTAAACAATGCAAACAGCTACCGGTGTGGTGATAAAGCCATCCTTGTGGAAAGTTATTGTGCTTATGCCTGCATAGTGAACATTCTCTTGGCATTGATTAGAGAAGTGAGCAGTTTTCCCCTTTTTATGTACCATATTAGCTATTTAATTGTAAAATTTCGATTCCAGGAGCATGTGAGTTGGGTGCGAGCAATTGTCTCCAAACAAAGTCCTGAACCGCTGCTCAAATTCATCACTCTCGCCAGTCAGCCCATGCTGGAACCAAACGTTATCACCAGAGAAATGGTTTTCTACGCTATGGAAGCAATACGAATGGTGTAAGATATTTTACTTTGCGCACAATTTTGTGCGGAATAAGCAATAATTTGTCTGCGCCCTGTATGCATCTAATAGAGGGGAATATTAGAGGGAGGAAAAGAAATGTGCACCTGCGAATTTTCACGTGTATTTATAATTGTAATGCCTATTTTCAATATTTAGCACGCCAATTTTGCCAAATGCACCAGCGTGCTACGAAGCATCACTTGGTGAGGTACTAAATCGCTTTGAGTTTGTAAGCGGCACGGCGGTGACTTTCTGCACGAAATGCGGTGACTGGAGTGTTAAAAAGTTGGGCTACCTTCCACCGCGCGATCTTGAGAATGTGGTCACGACAAGAAAATTCCCAACCCATAACGGCACCTGCATGAGAAAATTGGGTGACACCCAGGTAAACGTGTATTTCCAATTCCAAAAATAATTCAATTTTATAATTATTATTGAAAAATATCAGAAACCAATTGACCTTTGAATTTTTTTATGATATTTTTTTATTATTTCAAATGTTTGCAGTCCAGATAGAAAGGTAGCCACATTTTATATACAAATTGCTAAAATAAATTTCTTTAATAAAAAGTGCAATGGTGCTTGTTTTAGGAGATGTGTGGCGGAAAAACATTTACCCAAAATAGGCCAAACAGGAACGGATTTCTCACTTACCGCGATCGAATCAAAATGGACTCGATTCTAATGTCCGAAGCAATAAAAAAGGTAATACACGAGAGATGAAAACATTAAGAAGCAAAATCGCAAAGTGCAAATATGATTGTTTTAGGCTGGCGCGCCGAAAAAGTTTACCCTCGGCAATGACCTACAATTCAGATTATTCGGGGTAATGTTTGCCTATCAATTTGACGTGAAGGAGGATGGTCAGGACAAACGCTACTTCCACACGGTGCCGCTAATTTTTCCTCAGAACACCACTGACTCGTCTTTCATTCGTATAATCGACTGCAATTCACCGACCAAGGAAAACTTGGTGACTCCCGGTGGTTTTCCATGTGAATTCAACCAATTGGGTTCCATCTTTGGCCACGTGTATGTGCGTAATGGGCCGAGCAAGTGAGGTTGAAGGAGCCGCCAGTCTGCACCCCTTTATTTTTCTGCATGTTTATTTTTTCATTTGGTGTATTGCTCAAAATTCAATTTTATTGCTCGTGCATTTTAGTCGGTTTTTAGGTGTCAAAAAGTTGACTATCGTTAGTACATTTTACAAAAATTTAGTCGCCTTTTTAGCAGATTTTTGCCAAAATGGCCCAAAATAGTCGGTTTTACTTGGATTCTATTCCCATACGTGGGTGGCCAGTGGCAATGTGTTCCGCACGCGTGGGGGTGCTTTACGGAGCACTTGAAACCGTTCTCATATGGGCAGGGGTGACTTTTAGGGGGTGAAAATCAATCTTTGTGCCTAGCGATTTCGAGGCTTGATCGCTTGGGCCATGTGCTGCCCTCTTGCATTAATTATTTTCCATTTTTGGAATTATGATATGAATAATATTGTTTTCATCCATTTTTAATTTATTTTAGCCCTGTCAGATATTTATATTTTTATATTTTATTATCCACTTGTGACCTAAAATGCATTTGTTCTTGGTTCGATTTCACCTTTTATGAGTGTCTGGGTATCATTAGATAGCAAAGTTCATATGGCATGCTAAGGGTTGTTTTATGACTCTAGAGCAGCGCGGGCCGCGGGGATAAATTTTTTATTTCTTTTCGAACTGCTCAAAATAATTTCCAATTTATGATCTTAATTTTTTGAATAAATACCGCTCTCGTTTGAAAAACAAACAAAAAGAATTAACTTGAGTTTATTAGAAAAAACCATCGCCAGAGACATTGCACTTGAACCGCTGAAATAAAAATTAATTATTTTCTCTACCTTTCTCGGTGAAATTTTTTCACAAATGAACAGAAATTTTGATTGATTTTAAATTTTAAGGAGCTGAAAATTTTTATGACTGCGGCCGCCGGAACAAAAGTGGATTCACTCCGTGGATTGTTTTCCTCAGAACTGATTCAACTGTGTGGTCTGGAGTTCATTTATCAGACAAAACAATCATCTCTTGATTTAAAAAAAATCAACTCTAACAAATAATTTTTTACTCTTCCAAAATCAGTTAAAGGGACGGATGGTATAAAATTATTTACCGCGCACAAAGAAGCGAATGAAATTGAAATTTATGCCGGTGATTGTGAAATTAAAACAAAAATGTTTTATTGCAAGAGTAAAAAGATGAATTTTCATTGATTATTTTTCAGCTGTCTTTTAACTTTGTAAGTTCACCCAATTTCCTTCAGATTATTTACTAATATTTTCACCTCTGGAGTGATTTTTATAGTTTCAGGTCCCCAATTTCTTGATTCAATCTTCTGGAAAAAAAATAATCCTTTTTTTTCGGTCCGAGGAAAAAGAGGAGCCGACGAGGTGGTCGCGTTGATCACCAATGGCGACGATGCGGTCAGAGGTCAACACCCTTGGCACGCCAGCCTCACCAGACACATGGAAACGGGACCTTTGAAAGATTCTTGCGGCGCGACCCTCATTTCCAAAAAGGTCCTCGTCACAGGTCAGTATTTTTTACCGTCCAAAAATAAATATTGAAAAAATTGTTCTCTTTTCATTGAAACTAGATTTGCATATTGTTCAAAATTTTTAAAACGCGTGATTTCAGCTGCGCATTGTCTTTTTGACGGAGAGGGAAGTCAATTTGGAGCGAGACACGTGGACGTGACCCTTGGAATGCACAACCGATCAAATTCGGAAGAGACTTGGCGACAGACAATCAAGGTTGAAAAACATTGCAGTTAAAAAATTTATTGATTAAAACTTCAAAGTTTGTTACATAAAAAAGGGACAGTTCGTGATCACTAAAATTTGATTTAAAAATTTGAAACCAGAATTGCCAAAATCCTGAACAAATATTGCAAAATTGTTTTTCAACGACATTTCTTTAGGAGAACAATTTTACATATTTGGTAAATTTATTACAAAAAAATCTTATTTTTTTGTTTAGACTGCAAGTCTGGTAGTTCATCCAGGCTATGATCACAGCAGGGGCGATTTCAAGGATGACATTGCCCTGGTCATCTTGAAAAACGAGGTCAACGTCAATGATTTTGAGCGGCCCATTTGTCTCTGGAACTCTGGTTACGACTTGAACGAAATCGCCAATAAATCCGTCACGGTAGGTTTGAATTTAAAATTTCCATTCAATTTTCAAGAAGATTGAATAGGTGGTCGGCTGGGGCTACACTTTGGATCACGAACAGCCACAAATCCTGCAAAAAGCGATTATGAAAGTTGCTTCCTACGAAGAGTGTTTCGAGAGCAACAAACGCTTTTTCTCTCGGTTCATGCGACCGACGAAAAACTTCTGCGCCGGGGACGTCCTCAAAATTGTAAGTTTATTTTCCAGTAAAAAGAAATAAAAATTAATTATATATTGATTCAGTGATGAGTGCGTGCGTCGGTGACAGCGGCGGAGGATTGACCTTTTACGACCGTGATGACACCGAACGCCACTTTTTGCGCGGCGTCGTCAGCTCCAGTCCTGGCAAGAGAATAAACGCGGATTTCATCACGTGCAACCCCAAGTTCTGCGCTCTTTACACGGACGCCACCAATTACATGGACTGGATCGTCGAAAACACGCCTGACATAAATATTTAGATTTTAATTATTTGAAATGAGAAATTTAATATTTTTTCACTACTTTAAATATTTATATATTAATCATTTAAAGCGACTTAATGAAAGGAATATGGAATTTTCAACAAAATCATTTGATAAACCAGGAAAAAGGATCCGAATTCAAATATTATTTCTTTGTATTTTTCATATTAAATTATATTCTTTAACAATTTTGACGATTTGGCAGGAAATGTCTTGAATAAAAAAACCATTTTTAATTCAAAATTTCGATCTATGTAATTGAGTTACATGCGTTTTGCAATAATTGTTCTGAACAAAGCTACTCATCAAATTATATTTTTACAACTCCGCCTGGGAATGAAATGTTGAAACAAGTTACAAGGATTTCCGTCAAGGTTCGCTCTGCTAGACATATAATATTATATTCCCTTGCGAAAAGACAGGACTTTAATTAGGTACGTGACATTTATCAACCAAAATACTTCTGATAGGCTTTTAATTAAAAACATCCAAGATTTGGCATCAATTTAAAATGCAAAGCTTCCTTTTTTTTAATGAATAAAAGAAAGAATGGTGAAAGAGGTACAATATATATTTATACTGCAGTGTATTTGTATAATTTGACGACACATGAAGAGAGAAGAATGCAAAAATGTTTTGTATTTGGTAATTATTTTGAAGGTGTATTTAATGCTTTTCGTTTTTTCCTCAAACCTTAGAAATTACAGTTGCTTACGTCTAAAATATATATTTATATAATTTTCAATAAGACAGAGAAAAGTTCTTATATTTTCCTTTTTTTTCTTTAATTATAATAAACAATCTGTACTCGCGCGTGTATATATTTACAAAAGAACTCTTTCCGCTTACCTCGTAGTAATTGTGGTGAACTTCTTCTTTACATTAAGTTTAATTCTTGCGATAATATAAATACTTGTTAATTAATTTTACATGCAGAGTCCAGCAGCATGCGCTAGTTTTTCAAAGTTCAAACTTACTTTTTAATCACTCTCTACAGAGCGATAAAGCAATCTACGTCGTTTTTGCGATTTTAAATTTAATCAACGAAGGAAGGAAACATTTTGAGATTCGTCGAAGCAACTTAAATTCAAACAACTCTATTATTTTATATCTCAATTTGGAGTTCCTCATTTTGGAATTTCCACATTCACTCTCCATATTTTTATTGCCTGATGAAATCGCAAACTTTACAATAATCACTGACTATATATAACAATTTTTCCGTACATTCAAATTCCTTCTCGGTGTACAAATCAAAAAAAGCAAATGTTTCAGGGAAAAGTAGGAAAAAGCAGCTTCATCCAAATTTTTCCCTTGGTGTCTGAATTACAGTTGCGTTTTTTGTTTCTTTAAAAACCAAGCAAATTAAAATTTCATCCGATGACTTTTGCACAAAGAGTGAATTCATGCGTCGCTATCACATGAATTTAAAGCAGGCAGCAAATTCAATCTTGATATTTACAGTTATTGGCTTTGAGTAATTTATATATTTTCGAGATGAAGCCATTTCGGTTGGAAATTAAAGAGTGGCGCCCGAACACAAAATACAAAGTTGTTTTCCTTGGATATGCTTTTTAATTGTTTCGTCTTGCACAAAACGAGAGAAAAACGAGAGCTCCACTCTTACTCTTAATTGATTTCCTCCTCACTACGGTGAATTGTACGAAAAATTAAACATAGAAATATAAGTACGTGAAATCCTTGTCTGTGTGTTGGTTTTTTTTTCTTCTTCTTCTGTCTGCTTTTGCTACTGCTAGGTTTGTACATTCGCTTGAATTCAATCTTAAAATATCACCCAACTTTCTTTTGGAAACGAAAAGCAATTGCGGAAGGAAAGAAGTAGGAATTTTGTCAACACAAACAAAAGTGTCTTGAAGTCCATCTTCTGTGGTGCAGCAACAACGAGAGCAGCAGGAACGGGGAGGAGCCTTCTTACGTCTTCAGCAGCTTGTTGGCGCGCTGGTTGGCCACGGCTATTCTGGCGTCGTTCGACTCGGCCTGCAAAGTCGAACCAAAGCGTCAATTCCACCAAAACAACTCAAAACTCGTCGCCTCTAGCTATGCAATCGAGCCTACTCCAAAGCGCGAGCGCAATTTAAACAGGACACTAAAAAAACTGCTCATTTTGTCAAAAAAATTCTGAAATTTTAAAACTGGCCGCAATAAAAACCAAGTTTTTAAATTCACTGCATTTCAAAATTCTCGCAATCTCCTTATTAAAGCCAATTACCAAAAAATTTACGAATCGGGAGATTGATTTGCAATTACAACAGAATCCCTTTTGACTCTTTCTAGCCAACTCTGTTTTTCTCCAGCTTTATTAAAAACACATGTCTACGAATATATAAGCAAAAGTTGACGGACAGACCACCTCGAATCTCTTAAGAACTTAGGAGTTTTCCTGATTTTTGTGTTAACGCCGTCACGGTCATTGTGTTGGAATCGGCCTGAGTAACGTATTTACAAACAAATCAAATTAAATCAAAAGTTTTAAATAAATGATTTTAAATTTTTATAAATAGAATTTTGAAGTTTTACCTTGCGGTTGATGCGGTCGACCTGCCTGTTCTGGTTCTCGAGTTCCGAGCCCATGTCCAGGGCCATGTTGCGCAGGTTGCCGATCATGGTGTTCACCTGGCCCATGTTATCCTCCATCTCCTCCTCGCGGGCGTCGTTGGTGATTCTGGACACAAGGAAAAGTTCAAGTTTGCAAATTATACAGTTCTTATTTTTACCTAAAATTGTAAGTGAAATTAATTATACAGAAGATGAAACCATATTTTTTTTTTAAATCTTCAATTTTGAATGGAATACAACAAGCTCTACTCAATTTGTTTCTAATAAGACATAAAAAGCCTCATTTTCATAGTTTTTAAAACATCCGAATTGATCGAGTTTCAAAATCATTTATATATTATACTCTATTTAAATTTTTTGAAAATTTGTGTGTCGATGCAACAAGGATCTCTTGGCTATCGCGCTTTTTCGCCTATTTTCAAGGAGCACAAAACTTTAAATTTTGACCTTTCGCCATTATTGACCTGGAAACTTAGTCACCATTAAGAAAAGGTACATTGGTTCATCAGCTGCAACCTGCCATGGAGAAAATAAAAAATCTTTGCCCAAAGCCCAAATTAATTCGGCAGCAGTTTTCGTAAAACCTTATTTATCTCCGGCGGCCTTATTGGTATTTGACGAACATGAAAAACTTTCATTTTTTTAGTAATATTAGATCCATATTAGCAGAAACCAATTACATCCAAGGACTCAAAAATTAGCTTAAATTATTTCGGAAACTGAAAAAATCTAAAAATTCACGTTGTTCAACATTCAATATAATTTTTCTTAGGAATTAACCAATTTACTGGAAATCAAAATAATTCTGAAGGATTTTGCAGGCCTGCTATGGTTTCATCTTTTTTAAAATGAAAATTAAATTTTCCTCCAATCAGATAAAATGTGCTGACCTTCCGATGTAGCCGCCCTGAGGGCCGAGGCCGTTGCGGTCGTCCATGACGCGCTGGGGCTGGTTGTTGACCACCTTGCCGTCGTCGTTGCCCTTCCACGTGCCGTCGTCCTCTTTGAAGGAACTCGACCTAAAACCGGATCAAACAGATGCAGCAATCAGTAATGGCGGCGCCAAATTGCATGCACCGCCACGTGCAATGCAACAAAGAAAGCGCCGACTCGGCAAATTAGGGGAACAAAATAATCTTACTTGTTACAAGGCAAAACGCAGAGGCCACAGCACTTTTCCATGCCGGTCAAATTCTTCTCGGCCTCCTTCATGTCGGCGTTGATCTGGTCCATGCCCTCCTCGATGCGGTCCAGTTGTTCTAGGGAACGCGCACGCAAATTAGTCAAAATCGCTCCGCAAGCACCATGTGCGCGATGGTGCTTCGCAGGCAGGACAAGAAGCTTGGAAGAAAACGCACAAGTAAGACACGCACACAGTTATATCAAGAGAGATTTAAATCGGATGGAAAAATTCAAAATGTATTACATAATAGGAGAATTTAATACAAAAATTAAACTTCTTTTACAATAATTTATAGTAATTAATAAAAAAAAAACCGACAAACACACCAATAAAAAGACAAATATATGTGAAAAGAAGCCCACAATAGCACCGTTTGTTGGTCAGTTTTGTTAATGTGTGTTATGTTTTGGGTGTTCGTCTAGGCGCGCAGAGAGATATGTTTTGCACAAGAGGTATTTTTTTTTTCTTCAAATTTAGTTATATTCATGGTTCGGTATAATATAGAGTTTAGGCATACTCACCACTCCTGCGTCTATAAAATGTGAACAGAGTAATCAGTAATTCAGTCTCGTGTTCAGAGAGAGAGAGAGAGAGAGAGAAAGATAGAAAGACAACTTAAAACTCAGAGAAAGAGCAAATCAATCATATTCATGAGAAAGAGAGCGAAAGCAAAAGGAGCCTGAAAAAAATTCGTTCCAACCCTTGCGGGGCCGAGTTGGAGTCTGCTTGGAACAGACTTTTCAAAAGCTCTGTGTGGCATGCAGAGAATATTTGCGTTAATTCGGCCGAGCCTAGAAGAAGTCGTCGACAATCTCGACCTGGAGAACCGAAAAAAACTAAAAAGTTTCCACTGCTTGAACTATACGCCTGTTTTATTTTCTCAAATTTTGTGTGTAGGAAAAACACGTGCTTCTTCGAGAAGGGGAAACAAAACAGAAGAGGGGGAAAAGAGAAACCGAAAGTTTAAAAAGCAGAAAAGGTCTACGGAAGATGAATATATGAGATCGTGGATTTTGTTGTCGTTTCAAGGTCTGCCCATCTCGGTTCGGATGAGCAGACCTCGCGGAAAAGTATTTTGAGAATTCATTCAGCGAAGTGGACTTTTTTGGTGTCACTCAATTCTTTGGAAAGAGAGAAAGAAAGAAAGAGAGTTTTGGTGCCAGAGCCGAATGGAAATCTGTGAATTGTTGTAGATTTGTGGAACTGTCTCCGAGTGGAATTTAGATTTATGTGTGTTGCGACATCGAACACGACAATTATCATAGTCGACGGTAACCATTGCTACCAACCTATCTACCATAGACATGCTCTCTTGCACCACAACATGCCCAGGAGGTGCAATAGACCGGCATTTTTTTTTGCTTGTTCAAAAATTGGTGCCAGGATGGAGAAAAAGAGAAAAATTGTTGAGGAGGATATTGAGGAGATGGTTGCAGTCGGTGCGGAGGAATGAAAAAGAAAAACAACGGCAGACACTTTTCGTGGGGAGGGACCAGTCTCATCAGAGTCAGCAAGGGGTGCCTCGGGTCAGCAACACAAATCGAGCACTTTTGATTATTTGTTCACTTTTCAATGGGACACGCGTGTCTAGTTCAACCTGTCTGTCTCAGCTGAGTTCCGGTCCACTCCGCCACGCGACACTAAAGTTTAAGAGAACGATTTATGCATAAAAATATGTACGTGGAGGAAAAACAACACAAGTTGAATTGTTATTTTTATAGAAAGTCAGATTTAATATATGTTGATGGATGGCGTCTACGTCTAATAGATCTTTATCTCGCTCGGTTCATTTGATTTTGTTTTGGAGATTGGAAAACGGCTGACCCGCACTTATCAAACAATCGTTTGGGTTTACAATAATTGGTCTTTAGAAGAAGTTTAAAATACGAAAAAATAGATCGGTTGTGATTAATTGGGCTTACCCCCTTGCTCATCCAACATCACTAGGGATTTCATGCCGACCTCGTGGCTCTACAACAGCAAAACACATCAGCATGGCACCAGAGAAAGAGAGAGAGAAAGAGAAATCGCGCCCCTCGACTGAGACTGGGGTCTTGCTCGAGAAATATATAATATTCGTCAGAGAAACGAAAACCATCGAAAAAACACGACACCAGAAAACCAAACAAGCAAAGGGGCGCGCGTTCAACGCAATGGAAAGAAAGAGAGAAAGATAGAAATTTTGCGACCAATTGAGGAGAGATTTTGCTTTGAAATTTGGCGGCCAATTGAACTTGTAAACCTAATTAAAAATGGCCGACGACTGCGTGGTTCATTCGGCCTTCGCAGTCGTCGGCGCGGAAAGTTCCAGCTCGGTCGTCTGTATAGATTGAAGAGTTGATTATACAAGGTCCTGAGATTATTGCAGCAGAGTAGAAATCAGCGTGACGTTCTGCACACCAAGAGTGAGCACACACATACATACACAAAGTTCCAAGCTGGTAAAATATATATGTTACGCTCGGCATCTTACCACAATAGAGGGAAAAATATACCACCTGCGTTTTTTTTTTGTTTAATTTTATTTTTTGCTCCCACACTGATAATATAAGAGTGGAAAAAAAAAGTAAAAAGAAAGACACCGAGAATGTGACGTCCATCAAAATCCATCCAACAGCAAACCAGCGAGAGGCGAAAAACACACTTATAGTCACACACGATTAAAAAAATTTGCAAAAAGGTTAGTTTGGTTAGTTGCGAGTGGGCGAGTCGTGGTCGCAAGTACGTACCTCCTTGATGGGAGAGCAAATGCAATGTGTTTGCACCGGCCTCCTCGCTCTAAGGCAAAAAATAAAAAAATTGAGATAGAGAATTGTGAAGAAACGACAGGCATGTGAGATTCATGTGAGAATAAAATGCTCAAAACAAAGTTTCAAATGATGCGGCGTAAAATCATTTCAACAACACGTAATCAATAAGAATAATGTGTACGGAATAATAAATGGACATGACAAAAGGTATGGCGGATCATCTCGTTCGTTCTCATTACTTTAAATATAACAAATACTTCTTTCCATATTCGTACCAGATAAGAGAATATATAGTTTCAATACAGGATCAATCCAACGGAGGATATATTGCTACTGTGGCGCTACATTTACCAAATAAAGAGAGTGGAAGCGAGTGTGGGTGCGAGTCTTCACACTGCACACAGAAAGACAGATTGTTCTTCAAGTGAAATTTTGCATGCCTCTAGCAAAGCCTCTATAGCTTTATTCAATATCGTTTAAACGTCTTGTGAGAGTGAGAAGGAATACAGAGGGTGGACTAGTTTTCCAAATTATTCCCCAATGAATCAAAACAAGGATGAATGTGGGTCATGCCAATTTCACTGCATTTTGAATTAAAAGGCGCCACTAGTCACGTAAGCTTTGCCTTCTATTCCCAAGTCCACAAACTTTTGGCGGGAAAACGATTAATGGCATCTCTGAATTCCTCAGTTTTTGTATGTTCAAACTTTCTGGTTCTTGAATATAAATGCAGCGTAGGTTGGAAAGAAGAGGCTTTGCTAATTGGAGGGGGGTGACTACTCAAGCCAAGAGAAACACAGCGACATTGAACAGCGATGACAATTAATTAAGGAAGAGGATTGCGGCGGCCGGGGGCGGAGGAGATTATAAATCTGGTTCGTGTGTTCGTTCAGAGCGGGGTGGGACATAGTTCGTGCCGTGTGTGGTGGTTGATGCTGCTGGCTGGGGTCTCTCAAAAGTCACACATGCATGATTATATAAGTATGGTCGCTGGGACGTCCGACCCGCCGCTGCCCACAAAAAGCAAGAGGCGGATCGGACGCCCCAGCAAGTGAGTGCATGGTTTTCGGGATGCATGTAAAAATAAATACTTGTCATCATATTATTATATTTACAAACAAATTGAAAAAGACTATACAGTCGAGTTTGTGGCGGGGGCGACGAGTGAAAAGTAGTCGAGTGAGGACGCTCTAAAGTGAGAGAAGAGAGAAAAAGGCATAATACCTGCTACGTTAGAAAGTGATGGGTTGGTTGATGGGTTGGTCTCTCATCACTAAATATAGAGTTTAGTAGTGTCAAAGTATTGAGAATTTCTGATCAAATCATAATAATGTAGCAATGTGGTTGTACGGCGGAGAGAGAAAGAGAGAAAAGAAAGATTAGAGAGAGAGAGATACAAAGTATGTTGCGTGCTACTTACTGTCAACTATATATATAAGGCTTGTTCTTGTTTAACAACTGTAACAATGAAATGAACACTAGTGTTTCCTGCGTGGTTTGAGAGGCACATATCGTCTCATTCGCTTTAGTTATACGACAGGTTTGTTTAGCTCTCGTCCTAGTGCTTTGTTAGTTACGCGTCTCTCGCGTTTATATCGCCTCTGTGCAAAACACGTGTTTTTCTTTCTTAAATTTTAATTTCTCGACGTATGTGTTTTCAGTCTGTTGTGTGTTTTTGTGTATTCGTGTGCGTGTGGGTCTCTTTGGTCGTTTGTGCGTGTCGTTTGGGCGGGATCAGGGGATGAGGGACGAGGAGGTCCGGGGAAAGAACTCACCTCCCTGGTCATCGAGAGCGACCAGAGTTCGAATGCCCGCCTCCTTGCTCTGCACGGCAGCACGGGAACAAAGAGAAAAAACACGTACAAGATCATAAATGGATCTACTACTGGGACGACGAGAAAGAGAGAAATTCGCGAGGGTCGATCGTTGGCGTTTGCTGCAAAAAGTAACACTTTGGACCATCGGAAAGATCGCCCAAGTTGTGAAAATTGGCAAAAAAGAAAGGGGAGAATGTCTTCATAAAAAGCAACCATAAAAACCGGTAAATTTTTCAATACCAGAATGCGAAAGTACACAATTTGGCGATTTTAAACTTTGAAAATGGCGATATTCACCTTTTCCCGCCAAAAACATTCAAATTATAATAAAATTGAAAGGTAAACAGATTTTTTACAAAAAGCAAGTGAATAATTTGCTAATCAACCCCTTCTTCAAAGGGGTGTACATTTATTTCAATTGATAAAAAATTAACCGGTTTGAAACAAATTAATTAAAAATGGTGTTGAGATGGAAATTTGAAAAATAAAAGTGTCATCCCGTTTTAATTAAGTCTTCGTTTTTCAGTGTTGCAGAGAGTCATGAATGAAGAAGTTTCAGTAGTTTAATAGGAGGGAGGTATGTATTCATCTTTTTATTTGTTGCAAAACACACGCATGCAAAAGAGACGCCGATTTTGATTATAAAGTCGCCTGCTGCGTGAAGAGACACGTCGAGGAGGGGGGATGGGGTTGAGAGAGAAACGCGGACACACAGATAAAGAGAGATAGAAAGACAACACTTATAAAATGAGAAAAGGTAGCGACATGGCACTAACAAGAGGTGGTTTCTTAGTCGTGTCCACTTTCACTCAACGACTTCCAACACACAACACATGAGAAAACGGCGGGATCAGGGATTGAACGGGGGCGTGTTTTTCATTTCCATCGCCATCGGTTTTCTTTATTTTTATATCTGTGCTGATTTATTTTCGGTGTGGTTTTCGTATGTGTTCTCTCAATATCGGTCACTTGATTTAGTTAAATTTCGCCGTTTTAATTTATCTTTGTACAGGACATACGGAAGAGGAGGAATGAGAGACAAGATAAGAGAAATATAGAGAGAGATAGACATGCTCAGCACACTGAAGGAGGGCAATATTACCACTGTCGATCCTTACCTAGCTCGTCCCGAGTGGTACCGATTTTTTTTTATTAATAATTATTTTAATTGGAAAAACCCCTCGTCCGAAACTATTCAAATAAATACATAAGGCGAGATCCTCCTAATCGGGAAATTTCATTGGTGATGCGGTGAATCACTTGTTTTTCGCAAAATCTTATCTAATAAAGTATAAGTGGGTGATTCGTCGACATTTGGAGAGATAAGTTATTAGCATGAGCAATTGATCAAAAGCGAGATTTGGATGGGATCTTACCTCTTCACAGAGAGCCAACATGCGCCGTGTGCTGTCAAGTGACTGAAAGAAAACAAGAGTACAGTCGGTAAATTCTATAAATACGCGAAAACATCTTGAAAAGTCAATTTTAATACTTTTATGTATCAAAAACTGAATAAATTTGAAAGTGGAAGTTGCAAGAACTGGAAGCAAAATTGGAAGCGCTCAAACAATGAAGCCAAAGTTACCATTAGAGACTTGGAAAGATTGGGGGACATTCTCTTGAGATCCTTTTTATCAGGATTGTGAACTACAAATTGGAATTTTCACAGCATTTTCTAAAAAACTTGAGAATAAATTAAAAGCAACAAATTGGGTCTCAAAATTATTGCAAACATATAACAACTTCCAATGACAAGTAAATTTGCGTGAGCCTAAACAATTGTTAGGAGGAAATGTTTGTGGGTGAAAAGAATAAAAAAATTTCTGCTCACGTCATCTGTCACTTGACCGGCTCGCATCTGCAGCTCCTGGAGCTCCGTCTTGGGAGGCTCCGGCGCGGCTGGTTCTGCTGGGGCTGGCATCGTTTCGTCCTGCAAGCAAGGATCGGCGGACGAATGAGTGCGTGAGTGAGTGAGTGCAACGGGGGTGATGCGTCGGCCTGCACTCGCCGAACAAATGCACCTCGGAGGGCGGCGGCCGAAAGCGGTCGGTGCGGCGGATTCGCACTGCGCCGCCGTCGGTCGGTTCGCGGCGCATCGATCGCCGTTCCCGTCAGACGCCGCGAGAAGGGCACCGCGCGGCGGGCGCACCGCCCCAAGGTCACCCTCGACACCCACCCCCAACACATTCAACAAATAATTCTCACCGACACACTCGAAACTTTAACTTCGCACCAAAATTTTATGCAAAACGAAACGCGAATATTTTTCTAAAAGAACAAAATGAAAATTTGAAAATTTCAGGAAAGATCACATAATGTTGTCGATTATTTTTAAAAATTGATTGCGTATGACAAAAAAAATCAAGAATTATTTTGAAGTTAATTGTATTCGCTTCAATTTTCGCCAAGTTTTTAATCTTTGGTTCAATAAAAAGTTTTCACGGCCAATTTTGCAAAACCCTTCCGAACAGGCCCGTCTAGATGGTCAATGTGACCATAAAAATGATCAATTTCATTTTTGAAAATATCTCGTTGATAAAATGATTCGAACTATTGTTTTGCCTTGAAAACCCCGAAATCCAAGATGGATTTTTTGGCTTTTGAATGCAGACGGATTGAAATGAAAATGATAAAGGTATAATTTTCATCATTTTTTTTTCTTGGCTTCAAAATAAGTCAATATTTTGAGACTGAGGTCAAAATCGTTATTGAATAAAAGGACGAGAAAGAGATTTGTTGAAGGCTCAATTATTCCGCCAAAAAATCAAGATTTAACTGAATGATTTTGGCGGGAAACAGGTGAGCCTTAATAAGTGGAAATTTTTCAATTAAAAATTAATTTTGATTTCATTAAAATTCTAGATTGAATTAAGATTGATATTTTGCATCAGTTTTTCACCTTCCACATTTCGAGAAATAAACAACCGTTGAGGTGGAAACCGTGGCACTAAATTAGAAACCACAATTGTACAATCAAGAGGCCCGAAGCGGTGCCCAGGGAGTGCCACAGCGAGTCTGGTTTTATTTGTGTTTCGATTGATAAATAGAAGCTCTGCAAGTGCCGAGTTATTTTTGCTGGCGACGCCTTTCAAGTGAACAATTAAAATACTGCGCAATCAGGCTCCAGATCTCCGAAATCAAAGTTTCTCTCTTTCCGATTTTGGCGAAATTCGAGAATTGGAAAGTGTCACGCGACGTTTTCATAGAATCACGCGACCGCCTAGTAATAAATATATATAAATATTCTTATCCACAGAACCGCTCAAAATGAAGGATGGGGAAATTTTGGACCCTGCGGACACAAAAATAGATTTTCTTCGTAAACAAATCGATAATCAGGTAAAAACTACAAACAACTTCCGTTTTGGGATAAAATAAAATGAATATTGATTCATTATGCAGGAATCATTGACGAAGATAAAAAGTGAAACAAATTAAAATAAAATCAAATAGTTTATTTAGGAATATGTTCAAATAATGCAAAATCCTCAAAATCCGGATGAAGAAATAAAATTTCTGTTCAAAATTAAATCTCCTTTTCGGCTTTGATTTAATTTTGTTTCAACTTTAGAATAAAATGATTTTAAATTTCCATCCTTGGTGGTTTTTGATCTCATTTAAATATCTGATCAACCTGATTTTCGTTTTAATTTCCACTTTTTTTATAGTGCAGCGAGAGTAATCAGCAGTTTGACCTACTATATGCATTTAAAAACATTATTTTGTGTATATTCAGGTCGTTTGCTCGACAATGGGGAGCTTTTTCATCGCGATCAAACAATGACGGCGGCACTCGTCGTCTCGCAATTAAAAATTCACGACTGCCTGCACAGCTAAAAAACAAGCACCATTCACAGAGATGCAGCTCGAGCGAGAGACACAATTAATTATATCAAAACTTTCGGCCTACATGCAAATTATACTTGAAAGAGCAGTTCAAATTCAATTATAATCTCAATTTCTAATTAATTAAATTTTAGAAAGGGAGATATAATGTATTAATTTAATTATCAAAATACAAATTTAAACCAATTTTGAAAAATATTTAAATAGTTTTATTTAAAAATAAATTTAAATTAATTGTGTTTTAATAATTTATAGAAAATGTTTGAGTTAATATATGATAATATTTTTTAAATCAATAAATATTAAACCAAATTTTCTTTTGAAATGTGTCAAAAATTTGAAACGGAAGCAAATTTTAGACTTCATAATAGTAAAAAGCCATTCCAAATTTTTAATTGAAAATCTTTTTCAAAATTGATACAATTTTCCAAACCAATTTCAGATTAAATTTAGAAAAAAAAAATCATATAAAGAATAAAATAGTAGATGGTGAAAGATCTATAATTATAAAAAAAAAACTGTGTTGAAAAGTGGAATTTGAAGAGTTTTCGATGAAAAGGAGCATCGCTTGCTGACAAAAGACAAAGACTTTGCTTCGTCAGCAGGTCTTGTTGAGACAAAAGTGCGATCAACGCCCTCGAAATTTGTTTTGCGCGCGCGAATTGCAAATCAAAGCTGAAAGCGTGTTTTTATTTGTCGATTGCATTAGGTCGGTCGGTCGGTCGGGGGTTGCAAGCGGCGGATCCAGGCGAGCACCGCCGGAGCAGCTCCGCCCATGGGTCGATACGGTGCTGCAGTGCCAGGCCACCCACCCACCCTCCCGCCACCACCCCCGCCCGCACCCCCAAATTAATTCGCGGCGTCTCGATCGCGCGCGCGGGGGTGCAAAAATTCTTTCCACTGGCCGCCCGCCAACACTTTCCAACCCCATTTCGTGCGATTCACTTTTGCACCCCCTCAATGCAGTTTCGCTCTGAACAAAGTGAAATTGAAACCCATGACCTATTTTCACTTCAAACAATGATCTTTTGTGTCCTTTTGAATGAATTTTGCGTAGTTAAAAGAAAAATGTAAATTATTATAAAATCGAGTTTAATCAATTTTTAAGAATAAAAATATGCAGTTTTTGAGAAGAAATAAAATTAAAATGCAAATTTCTAGTGCAATTTATTGGAGTAAAAATATTAAATTAATTTCTTTTAACTTTTTTAAAATATTTACCACCATAATTAAGAAATTTTTGGAGCAAATTGTAGAAGATTTAATTAAATTTTAATTAATGAACACTTTCTTAAAGAATTTTCTAATATTTAAATTTAGAAATATAAGTAACTGCAATGCCGGACTTTTACGACTATTATTACCCAAATTTTGAAAGTCAAATGTGCCACGGGAGCTTTTACAAATTATGGAAAATGGATTCATGCTCTTCGTGTCTGCTGAGATAATTCGTTGCCCCGCTAATAGGCTGTGAAATGAGGCGCACTTGAATGCTGGGCGAAGCCAAACAAGAAAAAAAGTTCAAAGCGAACGCACGAAATAAACCGCCTCGTGCCACTTGAACACTTTTGATTTCAAAGGCCAACTTCCGACCATGTTTCAGAAAAAAATTATTTCACTTTTATTGATAGAAATTGGTTTATTATTGGAATAATTACTTCGCATGAATATTTATTTCTTAAGAGAATTTTTTCAAAAATTAAATTTTACAGTCAGTAATTTTTTTATCCCTGAATGTGAAAATGGACAAATTTTACTACAGAAAATTATCCTTGAAATGGAAAAATTGACACTTGAAACCGTGAAAACTGCGTATTTAATATTTTCCCGCCAAAAAACATGGAGCCATGGAGTAAAACATCAAAATTTATATTCCAAATTAATAAAAACGAAAGAATTAACTTTTCCCTCAAAATTCTTATTCATTTAGATTGAAAATCCAATTTTTTTCTGCATTCAGATAAGAAAAATTGCTCATTAAAAAGCTTTTTGCATTACAATTTTGACTTTGAAATTGCATGAAATATTAGAATCATGACAATTAATTGGCGAACAACGCCCAGATTTGTCTGCTTCGCAGCAACACAGTTGCTGGCCACGGTCAATTCCCTCGGCATATCAACAAGCCTTGATCGTCCATCGAATCATTTATAAAAAAAACTTGGTTTTATTCGCCGACCGACAACTGCGAACTCGGTCTTTCGTCATCGTTTATAAAAGATGGAACTTGTTGTTTCGACGAAAATAAAAACACGGAGAGAATTTTTATTATTATTATTACGATAGTGAAAGTGCCGGAGCAAATTTATGTCTCGCGTTATCCCCGGAATTCATCTTTTACAACGAAACGCGTGTTAAATGAGAGGGAAAAATTATTGAGCATGGCCGGACAAAAAAACTTTCTTTCCACACCCCGTGCGTGTGTCACACTTTTGGCAGCCAGACTGGGGGGTTGAAAAACATAATGACGCGGCCTTTGATTACCACAAAGTCTGTTATAGAATAAAACGAAAAAATTTAAAGTTAAAAAAAAACAGACAATTTAAAAATTCCAGCCATAAAAGAAGGTAAAAGTTTCAATTGTTTTAATTTTATGTTTAATGAGAATATAATTAGCGAAAACAAGCAAAATTTGGTGAATTAGGTCAACAGGCTTTAAGAAATTAGGTCAAAGATTTTCGCTAGTGAGAGTTTTAAGATAATCTTCGTCCGTCATTTTATTTCGATAAAAATGAAAAACTCCCACGCTTGTGCATGACGTCACCTGCAGAATCAGCTCCAAGGGAATTCCAATGAAAAAAAAGCCGAATTATATTTTTGTATCAGCGAAGGTGAATTTTGCAATTTCGTTTCCCGCATGTCCTTTGCTTGACTGAGCAGGTGCAATTTATTAACAATGTCTGCACACGAGGCCTTGGAAGAAGGACAATCGAGCAGATCAAGTGCGAAACGGATCGCCCTCGGGGGTTGTTCCGCACCCCCTCGGCAGGGGCGACTCCCACAACGCGGCCGACCTTGACCCACAAGCGTTAGCGACAGATAAAAAGAGAAAGATTTAACTTTGGTTCGTCACTTCATCAATCACCCCAACAATTCCCACACGTACCTTCCCATGTTACTTTTGTGCGAATAAAAAATCAAGGCAAAGACCTTTTTTATATTTTAATAAGAAAAAAAAAATAAAGAGGAAAAAATGTAAAAAATAAAGAAAAATCGATTCGTCTTTATCCTTCCTCCGAGTTTTGAACTCTCTTTCGGAGGAAGTTGAATTTCCGTCAAAATAAATTACATTATTTCTTTTTTTCACTCGCTTTCGAGGCACGCGCCTTTCCTGCCGCCGAATCAATAAAGAGCCGAATATTATTCGCGGGGTCACGTCCGCACGCCCATATTCCGCTTTGACGGGCCCGTCGGCGATTTCCCCCCGTCATAATCAGAAGTTGCAAACTTGCCTTTGGCGTCGAAGAAGGCGGAGGTGAGAAGGTTGAAAGGCTACAGGAACTAACAGCCCTCGCGGTGGATCCAAGAAGAAAACCAAAAGGGTCAACCCCGCTCCGTCGGCCTCGCACTGACTTTCTTTATCGACTGCGCTCGCCACCGACGTCAACTCGGCTCCTCCAGAAACGCCGCTCCCAACTCGGCGCCGAGCTCGCGGCCAATCACGGCCCGACTCTGGCCGGCCACGCCCCCTTTGCCAAGGAGGTTTCGCACGGGAGCTCGCACGACAATCGATTTGGGCCCAAAAATTAGGGCAAAACAGCTGCGTGTGAAAACAAACACGAATCATGGACACGACACAAGTTTGTCTGACCCTGTAAAATGCAGGTTTTGCCCTGAGAACTCGCACCAAATTCGGTAAGAATTGGAATTTAAATCCAAATAAAGGGTTTTCATTTAAGCTTTTGATTTTTTCGCAGGACGGAAGAGGAAGAATGGCTGCTTCCCATAGCTGGTACGGTGGCGACAACATCGTGCACCTGAACGTCGGGGGCACCAGGTTCGCGACTCTCGAATCAGTTTTACCTGAATTTCGTCAAATGCTATGATTCTCGCAGGTTCGACACGTCGAAGCAAACGCTGCTGTGCATTCCCGACTCGTTCTTCACGGCCCTGCTGAGCGGCCGAATCTCGTCGGTCAAGGACGAGAAGGGCTACATCTTCATCGACCGCGATCCCAAGCTCTTCTCCATCATCCTGAATTACCTGCGGACGCGCGACATCGACGCCAACAACTGCGATTTGCGCGCCCTGAGACATGAGGCCGAGTACTACGGCCTGGGCCCTCTGGCCAAGAGACTCACCCTGTGCGAGGACCTCACCCTCTCCACCTGCGGCGACATCCTCTTCTACGCCCACCTCTACCCCCCTTGTATCTCAATCCAACCCTATTAGAAAAAAAATTAAAATTTTCCAAATTTCAGCTCCGCCTCTGCCCGAGATTTCAAGGACGAGCGAGTCTTCGACCACCTCCTCGACTTCCTCCTCCTCTCGGCCGCAGAATCGCGGCTCGGCGGACAGCTGCGTGCGGCCAGGGTCGATCGTCCGGGTGCCGGAAAACAGTCCCGCCCTGCACGCCCCACCCATGACGCACAGCTCGACCCACTCGAGGAATTCGTCCCTCGAACTGAGAATGCCGGCCCCGGCGCAGGCCGTCAGCCGCTCCAACCAGGACCTGCGCAACCACGCAAGGGTGTCCCACTCGCGGACGGCGTCGCTTGACCTCAGGCACACGAGAAACTCCTCCGCTGACCTCAACAAAATGTTCAGGAATGATATCGGTCTTGTTTTCGGACCGCAAGGCAAGTGAAGATTTTTTTGTTCAAAACTTATTTTAAAACATTTTTGCCACAGCTTCAGGGTGGTTTGATCCTTTGAGAGTGCAGATCATCAAGGCCCACCACAACTGGATTGCCGTTGCCTACGCCCACTTTGTCACCTGCTACAGGTATGAAATTATCAGAATGATTAAAAGTTTATTTCAAGTTATGTTAAAATAAATTTTTTGAAATTTCATTTTAATCACAATTCAACTCAAATTTAGTAGAAATTCTGTTCAATTTAATTACACTTGAAATTTTAATTTTTAAACGGCCAAATTAAATTGTCGACATTAACTCCAAATCAAGAAATTAAAATTAATTGTGTTTACAGGTTGAAGGACTCGAGTGGGTGGCAACACTGCTTCACGAGCCCTCACATTGACAGCTGCATCGAGCGCATCGCCATCAACGCCAAAATGGGACAGGGTGGCCAAGAGTCGACCTCCAAGATGGTGGCCATCTCTTACGGAAACCAGGTCAGGCTGTGGGGAGTGGGCGAAGACGGCTCCAAGACCGACATTGGTAAAGAAAATTTCAAAAACAAAATTCATAAAATCAAAATTTTTTTTAGGCACTTTTAATTTGTCTGTTCGGGTGGAATTTTTGTTCTTCATCGGAAGCCAGCTGGTGGCGTTGTCGCCGACCGGGAAAATCGGCGTGTGGCACGCCATGACCCAGCACTGGCAGATCCAGGACGTGGTGCCCATCACGTCCTTTGACACGGCAGGCTCCTTTTTGCTGCTCGGATGCGACAACGGTGCTATTTACTACATAGGTAACATCTTTGCTCCACCAATTGCTCGATTTGTAACCAATTTTGATTCGCAGACATGCAGAAGTTTCCTCTGAGGATGAAGGACAATGACCTGCTGGTCACCGAGCTGTACCGTGATCCGACCAGCGACCCCATCACGGCTATCTCGGTCTACCTGACTCCGAAAACAAGTAGTAAAATCCGATGTTGGTTTGCATATGCAGTGCTTGCTAAAATTGATCCTGACCAGGTTTGTGCGGAAACTGGATCGAGATTGCGTACGGGACGAGCGCGGGCACCGTCCGGGTCATTGTGCAGCACCCGGAGACGGTCGGACACGGCCCTCAACTCTTCCAAACCTTCACCGTCCACCAAAGTCCGGTCACGAAGGTAATTTTTTTGTGACAATATAAATTTGGGTTTAATCGGAAGGCCTCAGGTGACGTTGTCGGAGAAATTCCTGGTGTCCGTGTGCAGCGAGTACAACCATGTGCGGACGTGGGGCGTGACTCGGTTCCGAGGGATGATTTCCACCCAGCCCGGATCAATGCCGGTGTCGTCTTTCAAAATCATTTCTCTGGAGGAGGTCGAACCGAATGTGAGCTACATCGCTGGAAATGACATTGGTAGGAATGGAAAGTTGCAGGTCTTGCCTTTGAAAGTTAACCTTATAATTTGTCCTCGCAGGTCCTTACGGAGAGCAAGACGACGAGCAAGTTTTTGTCCAGAAAGTTGTCTCGGAGACGGACAAGCTCTTTGTCCGTTACGCCTCCACTGGGAAAAGGTAACACTTTTTTTACAATGCGAAGAAGAAAAGTGAATTTGTTGATAAAACCTTCCAAAATTACCGCTAGATTTACATTCGGCTTCAATTTATTAATTTAAAATTGAACAGAACAGTCGTTTCCTAGATTGCTTTACCCAATCTTCAGATATTCATCGAATTTTGTATTTCAAAATAGGAAATGAAACTTCATTCACTATTATTTTGTAAAATTTCAAAACTTCTTATATGTCCTTGAGTGAATGGAGTAAATTATCTGTGATTTGAATTCAATTTGAAATATTTAAAATATATTAAATTTGGTAAATTTGCAGAGTTTGTGTGATTCGTTCTGTGGACAACACGATTATCACCTCGTTCTGCGTGCATGAATGTGAGGGTTCGAGCAGAATGGGTTCCCGGCCGCGCCGCTTCATCTTCACCGGACACAGCAACGGCACCATCCAAATGTGGGACTTGACCACAGCCCTTGACATCGCAGCTAAAGGGGACCAACGTGAGCGTTTCTTTCTTTTCATAGCAAATTTTGAGAAGAAATTTTGTTGCAGCTCCGATAGTGGGAGGACCGACGCCGGCAGAGCTTTTGCGCCTCTTGGACCAGTGGGACTTGAGCAACAGCCACTGCTCGACGCCGTGCATGTCCCCGGCCGCGGTCGCCACCCACTCGGCCGCCTCCAGGATCAAGGCGGCCAACGTGGCTTTTTTGAACCAGCAGCAGAACGACTCGGCCGGCAGCAGCGGCGGCGACTCGTCCGACGGCAAATAATTCTTTTTGTTTCAAAGCATAGATTTTGCTGCACCCGGTGGCTAGGCTTTGCTTCTCAACCCTCTCTTCACCTGTTGGGAAATCTGTTTAAATGAGCATTATGTGATACAAGCTAAATAGATAATAAAAGATATTTAATCCACACATTATACTTAAAACCAGGTATAGAATTGTAAGACCTAAATCATGTTTATTTATATTTGATTTTGTTACTTTGCAATTAAATTTTGTTTACGAAACCAGAATTTTTTTCTTTCATTAAAACGCCGAAGGTTGGTTTGTGTTTCATTGTTTATTTTAGATCAGCGATTTGTCAATTAAGTCATCATACAATATTTTATATAAAAAGAAAGCACAATGAGCCATTAGAGAAATTTAGCAATCAAGTCAATGAATGGAAATAATCATTGCCCGCCTCCTCACAATATTTGAACCCAGACAATATAAGCTCTGAACATGGCAAAGTCTGCATTCTCCTTTCAAAATGTAAATTAGTGATTTTTTTATTTTAAATTTAAAATGTCAAATATAATTTGAGTGTCCAATGAATAAAAAAAATTGCAACGTGGAATTACAAGTTTTGTTCTGACTAGCAAGGGATTGGATTGCATTTTGTAATTGATCGATGGAATAATGCAGCATATTGTAAGATTACAATGAATTAATTGGCAATGATTATAATTAGAAGAGCTGATGCGTACAAATTATTGTTCGAAAAACTAAGGTATAAAAAATGTCGGTCAGAATAAAAGCGTACATATATGTATAAACAACATTCAAAGCGTACAAGAACTTTTGAATGGGGGAGAATAATAAAATAAATATACATATATAAAATTGATGGCAACAAGAATTTCAACAGCAGAGGAGGTACACAGAAAGCCTCATTACAGATTGAAACAAGCCAATAAAAAAGAGCATCAGAAATTCGTCCTCATCGTCATAATAACAGAAAAAAGTATTTAATAAATTAATTGCTTCCCTACAAGTTTTGGCGAGCGTTTTAAAACCTTAAAAAACGCCACAGCGAGAAATTTGTTTAGTTTTCTTTTCTTCTTTAAATACACGATTGCCATGGAACAGTAGCCGGCATATTGAGCCGTTATTTCGTCAAAACGTAAAACTCGGCGTCGGAAGTGAGAGAGAGTGAGAATCAAAAGTAAAATTTCGCAAAAATCAGACCCCGGTTGCATCACCACACAAGTTATACAAGTCACATATGTACAGTTATTAATTATCCAGTGATCGGACACTTTGATTCAACGGCGGCACCACCTGCACTTCTTGGTTCAGCAAAAAATCTACCCCTCACTAGCTTGGTCCTGCTGCGATTGCATAGCTTACCTTGCTATAATGTTCCTAAGCCTAGTATAGCACTCTCGAGGCCGTCTAGTCGACGTTGTCTTGGAATATGAGTTTGACGTAGCCCGGCTTGCCCTCGAGGGGGCTTGCGCAAAACGGACACACGGCGTCGAAACCGTTGGTGCCGTGCGGGATGGCCACGTTGGCCCAGTACCTGAGGACAAACAAACGCCCGATTAGATCAGGAACATTTCATAGGTCGAATCGTCGCTTACTTGACGGTTTTCTCAGAAGTCATGTGGCCGCATGGGTTAAAGGCATGTGTGGGCTGGCCCTGGTCGACGTAAAACGCGGGTTCGATTCCCATGCACAACATCACCACGGGACCGGCCTGCAAATTCAAATTGAATCAATTAAATGCACACAGACTTTCATAAGCAAGTTTTATTCTAAAAGGACACACGTTTGGCAGGGGTCAAAGGATGTTGATGAAATTACTAAAAATTTTAGCTTAAAATTTTTGAGATAGACTTGCGTTGATTCTCTGACAAAAATTCGGGTATCAAAATGTTCCTACTGACGTTCTCTATCCAACCACGTGTCGGAAAATAATTGAAAAGGTCAAAGGTCACCAGGGGGTCATTGAACTTTTGTGTCCTAATCACATCAGCTGAAAGTGCAGGTCAAGGCGAGGACAGCTTTTACCAATAACAATTTTCTACTAAATGTAACAGGCAAAACGTTATTGTAGTTTTTATTTAATATCCCATGACAGAAAAAAAACGCGTTTTTCACCCTTTGAATCTAAATATCTCAAAAACAATAAAAAGAAGTCTCACCTTTTTTTCACATATTGTGTACAACTACATTAGGCAATTTTTGGCTATTTTAAAATTTGAAACAAATTCTTCCCAGGTACCTTGGCATGTTAAATAAATATTCAGGTTCCGAAAGGTGACCTTGACCTTTGACCTGCGACATCGATCACTATTGAAAAGATTTAGGGCGTCTAATTCCTGACAAATTTGGTTGAAAAGATTTAAGCGCTATCTTCAACAGGAGCTAAGATAATTTTCATTTTCAAAAATAAGCTATAAAATAAATTCCCATGTAAAAATAGGCAATTCTGAGCATTTTTAAAGCTTTTTTTAACCTTAATATTAATTTATAGTCGAGTTGTATGAAAATCCGTTGACCCTTGCCACAAATTAGTCCTTTTAAATGAACACTTGCAAAATGCTAGACTTGCTTTGGTGCAGAGCGGACACTTGCGGACGCCGCCGGAGCTCTTGTCCCAGTCGTGGTGTCCCTGGACGTGTCCGCAGTTGATGTAGACGTAGGGCTGGGTGCTGCCCGAGCCGAGGTAAATCTTGTTGCGGGGGATGACGAGGGTGTTGAGGCCGACGGGGCACTGGGGGCGGCCCGCGTTGATCTGGTCGACCATCTTCTCGAGGTCGGCCTTGGACGGCGAGTTGGCCAAGCCCTCGGCCGAGCGCCACAGCAGCGTGGCGCCGCACAGGTCGATCAGGGTGCCGTCCTGCAGGACGTTGTCCTCGTTCTCCACCGGCAGCCCCTTCTGCTGCGCCGACCGCGACTCCCGCAGCGTGAACACGCCCCCGCCGACGGACACCTCGCGCCACAGCCCGCCCGGCGTGCTCCCGTCCGACTCCATCGCCTCCTCCTCCTCGGGCGAGTGCTCGGTGAACGAGCCGCGCGGGTGCATGATCAGCACCCCGTTCGTCGTCAGCCCGTCGATTTCGCCCCGCGATTGCCACTTGGTCGCTCTTTCCTGCAGACGAACACAAGAAAAATCATTTAAACTTTCATTTCATAGGCACTAAGATTAGGTAAATCCTGCGTAGAAAGGTCATTGACCCCAACGACCTTTAACCTCATCGCATTATTTTCATGAAGTGTGAAATTAATATCGTTGGAAAGAGGATATCAAGGAGGTCATTTTGGTACCCGAAATTTTTTTTAGCACTTACAAAAGTAAAATTATTGCTGTTTTTTTTTAATGAAGGAGGGAAAAAATTTAATTTAAATAGAGTGAAGGTACAATAACTGTTTCTGTTGGAGCTAGAACAAAATTCCTGGTACCAAAATGATTCTCTTGATGTCCTCTTTCGAACGATGTTTCACACTTTTAGAAAAGGTCAAAGGTCACCGGGTTCAATGACCTTTTTGACATGGTCACAAAGTGCAATATGTTTTTAGATAGACCAAGTCAAGGCAGTCACTTTTTGTCATGATGTACTTTGGGCTAACTTGCTCAGGGAAAAAGTTACAGAGGCTCAAATACCCAGAAAATGAGCTCGGAAAACCATGTTTTTTTAACTTTTCATTATTTTTATTAATTTAATACAGAAAAACGCCAACTGGTTCATTTTAATGTGTGAAGAAAAATTTCACGTTATACAAAATGGCTATTTCAGAATAAAAATAAAAATTAGGGATAACCTTCAATTTTGAGGTCATAAGTCTTGAGGTCACCAAAAGTGATCTTAAACATTGGCGAATAATTTTGCTGTCAAGAGCAAAGTTGAAGTGGGCGATGAGGGAAATTCAACCACCCGCGTTTTTGTTCTACAACCACGGAAAGCCGAGATCGAGCCTTTTCGAATTTTCCAAACCCACAAATTTCGAAACAATGGGGTAAAACTATATTTTTGTAAAACTTCTTTATTTGTATTGACCGTTTTAACCAAATATAGTCATTTTTTTAATTATTACAAACTTAAAATGAGGTTCAAATTCATTTGGCGGGAAAAGGTGAACCTTTGATGAAATTGTGGTTTTAAGGCCCAAAAATGCAAATGATTTAGTTGCGATTTCAGCGTTGGTTATGAAATTAGACCTTATTTAACATTTCAAATTGAAAAAAATTAACGGTGTTCTTCTTTAAACTTGTAATAATTTAATAATCCAACTATGTGGATTCAATTTGTTCATCACCACTGACAGCCTTTGGCAATCTAAGGTCATTTCGAGTCGCAAAACTTAGAAATTGATTTCCCTGTTGATGCAATAATTACAACAGCGTTATAATTAATCAACCTCATCGCGCAGATAAGAAAACAAACAATCGGCGGCAATGAACGGAAGCAAACAATAATTATTGTTTCAAGCTTAATATAAATAAATATTTAGCCGCGATTATTGCACCTGCCCAAAACGTGTGTTCGATCGATTGTCGCCGTGCTTGGCTGTTCAAGGCCACGCGTCTTTCTTTTGCCAGGCCAGCTCACCAAACACCAGCTGCTTGCATAATGCAATTCTGCGGTTGAAAGTCGAAACACATAAGCGGCAGCTATACGACTTTTCCTTCACCCGTGACGACAAATCAAGCGCATAATTTGATTTTTTTTCCCAAACTAAATAAAAAAAAATTACGTTAAAAAACTTGCCCCTAAAAATATGTTCCTGGACGAGTCGAAGCCGGCGGCGAAAATTCGGGCGATGCGCGGATTCGTCCTCTCGGCCAGGATTCGACACGCAAATCTAGAAATGGTGCTCTGCATAACTCGTTGCTCGCCGGTTTTGTCGCCAGGAATCGTGTCCATCAGGACAAAGTCTATCGGCTGCTCAGACGAACGTCCGATCTGCAGACAATCAAATATTTATTGAAAATCGAAACAGGGCAAAAAGGTATTTGATTGTATAAGAAGTTTGATTTGTAATTTAATTAGTCCAAATACTTATTTTTTTTATATAAAAATTTTACTTCTAAATGTTAATGAACAATTTTTTTTCCACGAATCAAATCAAAGAATTTACCTGGAACATGTCCGTTGCTTCATCAGGCATGTATTCGACGATGACGGCTTGGTGTCTTGACAAGGTGTACGAAATTGAATGCTGGTCCTTGTCCAAGATTGCCTGCGGAACCAAATTTAGATTAAAGACTTAAATTTTAATAAATAAATTTGGATCAAAATAAACTGCGAGGGGAAAGTTATGTAATAAATTTGAATGCATGTCCAATTTAAATTTAGCCTTTGAGTTTGGTTTCCTTCTTCAAAGGCATCGAGGTCTGTAACGAATGGCCCGAATGGGCTGGCAACAGACAAACGAGTTCAAACCTGCGACGAGTGCGGCGTTTTGACGACGTAATGTTTTGATCTTTTGACGCCGTTGGGCTCAGGTCGTTTGAAAAGCATAAACTTGCTCCTGCGCCGGCCGCGGTCCACCGGAGGAAGGAACCCATTATACCTGCGAATCAAAACAAACAATGCAGCTGTAGCAGGCATCGCGATTGAGTTTGGCTAAACACAGACCCTAGGATCACCAGTTCGCCGTAGAGCGCCACCCCGGCTGCTTTCTTGGCCGCGTCCGTCGTGCCCGCGTCGTCCTGCTGGCTGCGCTGCTGCTCAGGGTGCGGCCCTGACGAAGGTGAGGAGGCGGCTGCGGCGGCTGGCGGCGACGTCGGCATATCTCACCACGCTTGCATTATTCTGCTCACCAGATAAAGAAAGTTAAACACGCCAATTTAGATTAGGATTGTGTATGTATAAAATGTTTTGGTGTCGCGCCAGATAAAAGAAAGAAAGAAAGAAAGAAAGAGGGACACGGACGGTTGAGTTGCTACGACGCATTTCTATTTTGCATAATTATGTACCTTCTTCGTTTGAGAGGAGGACGACGGCCAATCGGGGGTGCGAACAACAACAACACGACGCTCTCTAATCGCAATTCTGCATATTGATCACGACTGAGGAGATGTGACACACATATCCGTGTCCAGCGATCTGCAAGAAAAACAAAGCGGACGGGATGAGCGACGGCCCAGTGCGGAGCGGTTTCCAGGACGCCGTCTGCCTCAAGCGTCGGACACCCTTACTCAAGAGCTTCTCACCTGCACTGAGCCGAGTCTGGTCGGCCGCCGATTCTCCTCGGGACACCACAAATGTTGATATTTTGCTCGCCCGTCGTGCGCCTACTAATGGCTTCACTCGGCCGAGATCTTGCTTCGCCGCGAGTGCCGCTTCAAGCTCCGTGCAAGTTTGCCGGTGGTGGGGGAAATCCTGCTTTCCTCCTTGGCACGAAGGGGGCGTGGCCAATCAGCGTACTGAAATCGACCATTGCAATGATTGCAATCGATCAAAAACAAAACCCACCAAAAAGTATGCAACCCACCTGATTTTGAAGGGTTCGCTCAGGGTTCGCTGACTTCTCCTTCCTCTTCTTCGCCCGCAGGCGAATTTTTTCTCTCTTCTCGTGGCCGGGAGAATTGCTAGGTTGGAACCTTGGCTGCCACGGTTTTGCAGGTTCGCTAGAAATTATATAACTAAATTATTGCTGAATTTATATTTTAAAAATTTTGCAGACCTACCTGAGGATGGCTCAGAGCGCGCCGTTGATCTTGCGGATCGTCGCGTCGTCCGTGAGCGCCGCCAACCAAGCGGGCAAAATCATCCGAGACGTCATGAGCAAGGGCGAACTCGGAATCGTCGACAAAGTATATTTTTTTACAATTTTTTTCCTTCCGAGAGTTCCGAGTTTATTTTCCTGAAATTCAGGGCGTGAACGACCTGCAGACGGAGGCAGACCGCACTGCCCAGCGGTGCATCGTGAGTTCGCTCAGCAAGCAGTTCCCCTCGATTAAAATCATCGGGGAGGAGGACCAGGGCGGACAGGAGTGTCCCCTTCCGCCCGAGTGGCTCGTCACGGACAGCGACCCTGGCGTCCTCAACCTTCAGTGTCCCAAGGACTTGCAAAACGTCAAGGAGGAAGAAGTAGAAATTATTATAAACTTGCCAATTTTATTCTAAATTTTCTCTCTAATTTAAGGTTGTTGTTTGGGTCGATCCTTTGGACGGAACCTCCGAGTACACTCAGGGTAATTAATTAACATAATTAAAGGAAGGTTAAATAAGGAAAATATTCAGGTTTGCTGGACCACGTGACCGTCTTGATCGGAGTGGCCGTGGGTGAGAGGGCGGTGGGCGGGGTCATCCACCAGCCGTACTTCGAGTACCAAAAGTTTGAGCGGCCCGACCTGGCCCCCGGCCGGACCATTTGGGGGATCCCTGGGGTGGGGACGGGCGGCTTTGAACCCAGAGTGGCCGAGGTGGGCAAGAGGATTGTGACGACCACGCGTTCGCACTCGAACGCCCTCGTCCAGTCAGCCCTGGACGCCATTCAGCCCACCGAGGTTCTCCGAGTCGGCGGGGCCGGACACAAAGTAAAACCCTAGGAGGGATTTAAAGAAAAATTAATATGGTCTTGTGATGAAAAAAAGGTGATGCTTCTTCTGGAGGGCAAGGCGCACGCATATGTCTTTGCCAGCGCCGGATGCAAAAAGTGGGACACTTGCGCCCCTGAGGCGATCCTGAGCGCGGCCGGCGGCACCCTGACGGACATGCTGGGCCGACCCTACTTGTACCACGCCAGTGTGCAGCATCTGAACGCGTCTGGCGTGCTGGCCGCTGCCACCAAAGAGGACCATGCCTGGTATGCCAGCAAAGTGCCAGACTCGGTGCGGCAAAAGTTGTCCGGCTGAGATTATTGTTAATTTAAAATTACTTGTTACATTTCCAATTTTTACCACCACAAAATGTGGCTATGAAACCACTTGCTCAGAGAGTTTTTAAATTTGATTCTTAAAAAAAATAAACTATAATTCTATATATGGTTGTTGATTTGTTTAAATAAACGATTGTTTTTTTTCCAGAAGCAAATTACTTTTTAATTCAGTAAAAGTTTCCTTCTTCATATGCACTTATATAAGCAAACTTCAATGTTATGAAATTCAAGAAAGATATTATGTTTATGTTGTGTTATTTTATGGGACAAAATGTAATAAATTATGAGACACGATTATGAAAATATTATTCAATCTAATTTATACAATAAATCAATGAAAAGCCGTAACATGTTTTAATGAAGTATGTGAAATATGTACATGAAGCAGGATTTATCTGTTTTGTATTAAGACAATATTTAAGCTTCTCGTGGCCTTTATTTTCAACATTCAAGATTGCATTGTTGATTGAAGAAATTTTTTGCAATTGTCACGGTTTTTGTAGCTTTAATAACCGGTTATTTGAAAAGTCAAAACTTTAAACTCACATGTTTTGTATTTTTTAAGAGATTAAACAACACAAATTGTGATGCTCTCTGATAAACTTAGTTTTTTAAACATTCTGCTCCATATTTTAAACTTAAATTGGGTCTTAAAGTGAAGTAAATGTGAAAACACTATAAACCGGTTTTTCCAAGAATCACGTTACCGGTTAAAATTTACAGTCGGGCACACCCCCTTCTCATCGTGTGTTCCTTTCGTTTTTCTGCTGCATTTGTCTTAGAATTTTGCTGAAATTACCCGCATTGGGGTTATTTTAGGATGAGTGGATCGATTCTGCGGCTAGTTAGGCCTTTGTGCGAGGCCTCGGCCGGTAAGTTTGAGTTAATTCAGCGGAAGCGGACGTGTTTTGACATGTTTCTCTCAGGTTTGGGCCAGTGCAGGAGGAGTCTGAAAACGGTGCACATCGAGTGGAAGCGTCCCGAAAAGCCGGGGTGCACGCATCCGAAGGTGAGCGGCGACCTGTCGCCGCTGCCCAAGATCGACGGCGAGGAGGTCTTCAGGGAGTACGCCGAGGCCGGCGTCAACCTGCAGGACATGTCGCCCGAGCAGCGCAAATTGTACACTCTCAAGTTCTTGCCGGCGGTCTACCAAAACCGGACGCAGCTGCAGCGGATGCTGGAAAAGGTGCAGCGCCACAAGCTGGACAACAACTCCATCGAGGCCAAAATCGCGCTGTCGACGGCGCGCATCAGACGGTTTCAGCAGTTGCAAGAGACCGACCCCAGAAACAAAAGGCGAAAGGTACATGTTTTTTTTTTTTTTGTAACAATTTTTTACTGAATATATTAAATTGGCTCTCCCTGAAGGTGATTCTGAAGGAAATGATCGACAGGAGAAGAGGGTACCTCGACGATTTGAGGGAAATTGATTACAAACGCTTCGAGTGGCTCATCGAAAAGCTCGAAATTGAGTATAGACCAAAGCCGGAGTGAGTGAATTTGCATCAATACAAGATTCCTTTTGACTTTGCAATTTATTTCAGAGACAACAGTAGGATCACGCGGAAGAACTCGATCAGAAAGTTGACCGAGGAGTACTGCGAAAAGGTGAGAGAGGAAAAACTGGACGAGTTGAAAAACAAACTGCAGCGAGAGCGGGAGAAATTCGAGGTTGAAAAGAAGCAGATTTTGGAGTGGATCGAGAAGGAAGAGGCCGCGTGTGAAAAACTCAGGCAACTCAATTTGCAATGATTCAAATTTAATTAAGGTAGTGTTCGACGAGGTTCAATTGAAAGTGTGAAAATTTCACAAAATAAATGATAATTTTGACATTTATGCACGAATCTATGTAGGAATGACAAAAAAATCATTAATTATAATTTTTATAATCTCTAGAAACAAATATTTGGTTAGATTAATTAATGATTAAGATTATTTTAGACAAAGCCCCTGCCAGTCTTGAAAGTATGCAACCAGCTTGATGCCGGTGTTTGCCACATTGCATACCTCCGATTGTGCAGGCGCTTTGATATTGCTTTCAATTTAATTCGCTCATAGTGACGAATTCCTTTCAACTCTCCGCATAAGTGGGTTTTAATACTTTTAATTAAAGCACTTGGCGAATTGACCGCAGTTAACCGAGGTCTGTTGTTTGTCTGACCGAGCGAGTGCCAATGTCATTTCCATTTGCCAGTCTGCGCCGCCTCGCTGCTCGTCGCGGCGCATCTTTTTCTCGTCCGCCAACATTTCAGACTGGCGAGTGAATTGAATATCATGTATTGTGTGCGCTGGCCTGCGGTGTCGTTCGGACTGTGCAAAGTGGATTGAAATAAAAATACACAGAAACTCGCTTATTCAGCTCGGGTACGAGGTAAGAATATTACCAATATTTGAAATATTTATCTTTTTCAGGCAATCAATTATTTAAAATTTCAATTAATCGGAATTTTTTTTTTAAGATGAAATTTATAGTTTTTTATTTCATTATGGATTATTTTTGGTAAATACCTGATTTTAATAATCAAAATTTATTTTTTTTTCTACAAATGTTCAAACTTTTTTACAAGTAAATATTTTGATATTTTTTTGCTTTTTATACTAAGACATAAATTCATTTTCTGATTAAATAAAAAATTTCCAAATTATCAAGAAATGAATTTAAAGTAATGTTTATATTTACAAAATTCTATTATAATTTTTGTTTTACATGTGATAAAAAAAATATCGAATATGCTGCGTGTATCAATAATGGGGAGACACGGCGACTCCGTCAGATGCAGACACTCGTGGCGCCATCGCGATGGGTCCATGTTAAATCTGCACTGTCGGCTTGCTTGCTTCTTCCCACCCCTCAACCGGTTGCACTGCGACCCAGTTTCGCGCTTCCCTTCTAGAAGCTTTGTGTGCCAACACAGCACAGGGGCGCATCCAGTCATCGGTTTTGTGAAATTATTCCATATAATAAAAGGAAAACATATTCATCAAAATGGTTCTAAAATCGATAATTTGGAAATTAAAACGGTTTAAAATGCTTCGAAATATTTAAAAAATTAATCGTTTCAAAATCCTGGTTTTATTTCAGCAAATTAAGTGGAAAATACACCTTCTAAGTCGACAAAAATATCATGAAAATTTCATATTTCAAAAATAGTTGTAAGAAGACTAAAAATTCAATCGATAAAGTACAAAGTTAATCAACTTAATTAACTAATCTAATTAAGATTTTTTATACTGAATGTTATGAAATCAGTTAAAACATTCTAGAATTTTTTTAAAAATAAAATTATAATTTTATATAATTACTTTTTTCTTAAATTTGGTCCGGTTGCGCCACTGGAAAAGCGCGGTATGTTTGGCGAGAACCGGTGGAAAAAGCTTTTCAAACCGAAATAATTGTATGTGTTTGCAGTTGGCGCGGAGTTTGCACCGATGGCTGGAAAACCGGTTTGGAGTCAGCTGAGCTGAAAGAGCGGCCAGATGGGCCGTTTGTGAGACGCGCAGGCGGCCACGGCCTCTCGGCGGCCATGGAGGACGAGTGCAGCAGCGAGATCGTCACCGAGGACGTGCCCGAGCGCCGACACAAGGTGAGTCGCGACAACACCTTATCCCGAATTTGAAAACAAAAAAGAATCCCAGCTTTGTTTTGGTCCTTCTGTGTTTTCATTTGGCGATCGATATTTAACGCCACCGTGAGATTGATTTCACGCAAACGTGCGTGACATACGCGCCGAATTGCAATCTCGTCAATCATCTTTTATACAAGAATTTCATATTTGAATATAAAAAAGGAATTATTATTTTTTAATTAAAACAGCAAAATTAAGCGTTTTATTGAATGAAAAAAATTTTGAGGTTAATTTGGAAAGTTTTCGGATTCGATGAATTTTGGTTACGTGTTGCGTCACAAGAAGTCGTGCCTGATTATTACAAAATTGGAAATTGTGGTACAAAAATTTCAACGATTACAATAAAATAAGAAATTTGGCGCCGTGAAAATAGCGCCTTTCTTGTTTAATCGGATAAAAATTCGCTCGGTAACAATAGGGCAAGTTTTGAATAATTAATTAGAGCTTTTGTGCGTCTCTCTCGTTTGCGCCGAAATTTCGAGTTTAACTGCTGGGAGGGCGTAAAGTTCAGAGTTGATACGACCAGGGACACTTTTTACATAAAAAAAGTAAATGCCCGCCTGCGCGATATTTGTTTGTTTGTTTGTTTGTGCGTGGAAAAGAAACTCTCAGAGCGGCTTTCTTATCTTTGTCTCTCTTCTTGGAATAGCAAAAGCCACTTCAGGAAAATGGAGAAAAGCAAAAAACGCACCCAAGAAGACTCTATAAAAAAAACGGAAATATTCTTTTTGCCACACATTGAAATTCTTAGAACACAACAAACAAATTAATTTTTATTAATAAATAAAAGTTTCGTGTACTTTAGTTAATTCAATTGTTAAAGAAATTACTCAAAATTCAGCTGAAATTGTGATGTTAAGGGTTGCTTGCATGGAATTTAGATTTTGAGGCAGATCTAGGCAAAAATAGAGCGTCTCCCTTTCTCTCGTGGACCGGGCGGGCGAGTTGCGGCGCAAAGGGTTGATGTAGGGGCGGGGCGGAGGCGTATCGATTGGGCCGCCCCCGGAGGCGCCCGCGCACCCCCCACCGCCACCTCTCGCCGGCGGCCGCCCGGTCCTTGGACACTCCGGCATTGTTGCTCCAACAATGGTCCACTCAAGGGTGAGTACACCAATTCCTCCATTCTTAATTGTCCGCGCGTTCATTCATTTATATTTCAAAATTACCAAATTTCAACCTAAACCTGAATTTAATTGAAATCATATAAAAATTTTCAACTTTTTGTTACATTTTTTGGGCGGTTTGAGTGTTTGAATTAATTTTCTGGTGCGGAAATTTAAATCGTGCTCATTGATTGCACGCAAAGTCGTTCCACGCCCTCTGCAGCCCTGCGTGTGCCACTTTGAGGTGGCCCAGTGCAAAACACACACACACACACATGCAACAATCAAATGTACTTTCCTTTCTCACTATTGAACCACTCTGAAGGAAAAAACCGTTTCTGTTTGCATATTTTCCTCGAAATTTGTAAATCTAAAAATTTGCTAAAAATAATAATAATAAAAATCTTTTAACATTTAAAGCGTTGGCAATTATGAATTTCTGGACAAAATTTAATTTTGAAATTTTTAGTTTGTAAAAATTAGTTATTTCCAAAAATGTTTAAAAAACTTGAAGTTGAGATTTTTTAAATTCGGGCTTTAAACCATCCGAGTTTTGAAAGCTTCTAGAAAGAAATTAAGCTAAAGAGGGTGGGAGGAGAAGTAATTAGCCGCTATTAATCAGCGTAATTTTGCAAGACGCAGCTGCTCGTCGCTAATTGCTCTCTCCAAACTTCTTGCCATTTTTTTGGCAGAAAATATTCGTCATTTTGAACAGTAGCAAAATTTACCACATTTGTTCACTTTTTGACGAAAATCGATTCGAATGCAGATTAATTTTAGGTGTTTGATCAGGCTTTTAGTTTTTGAATAGGAAACGCCACTTGCACGTAATTCCTTTCGAGCCGCCACTCAACATACTCTCAAAGTGCGCTCGCCGCCCGCGGGCAAACATCCGCCTCAAGTGACTGACGAAACTTGCAATTACCGATGCAGACTTCAAACCCCCATTCAAACCATTTTTTCACAATTAAACTCTGTGACCTATTTAAAAATCTGAAATATTCACCATAAAATTAGAGATTTCCATCGATTTTCAATTTCACAACAATGTTATTTTTAAGAAGAAATGATTTATTTGCTTCGAAACATAAAATTACAAAAAATTTATCAGCAAATTCCAAACACTAACTAAAAAAGGTATAAATTATTTGTTTTTTAAATTAAATTAAAATTAAAAAAATATCTGCAGTGTTTCAAGTGAAAGTAATTAAACAAAATTTTTTATTTTAGACTTTCGCATAATTTTCTTATTCTGTCCTTTCCACTGATCATTTTTTGTGTGCTCGCGTTAAAATTTGCAATCTTTTTATGCAAATGAAGGTTGTCGGCGACACGTGGGCCAAATTTTATATATTGCGACAATGAAAGGGAGGAACCCCCGTTTGTAATTCCCGAGCGATTTGAATAAATGCAAATGAGAAAGTTTACCGTCTGCAAATAATCCAAATTATTGTCGTAACGCGTCACTCACAAATCCGCTTATCGGCTGAAAAGTTTCCTGCGAATCACATGACACTGTAAACAAAGCGAAAGGGCGGAAAGGGAAAGTGTCGTGTTTCCCTTAATGGCCCATTATTATCCGAAAAAAGCTTGGCACGCAGCAGATAAAATGCTTTTAATTGCGCACAAAAACATTTCCTCTCCGAAAGTGCTTCTCAATTAAAAAGCTCTACTTTTCATTTATATTATTATAAAGTTATGAAAAAAAAAATATATTTTAAGCCGTCTCTTGTTTTATTAATTAAAGAGAGTACAGAATCACCTGAGGGCAGAAAATGCTTCATAAAAACTAAAAGTTAAGGCCATAAGAATCATTTTGTAAAGCAGCAAATTGGAGGGGTTTTTTTTGGGGGGGGGGGGGGGGAGAGTTTAATGTGAGGTTCAAAAATGCGACTTTTTGCATTTTTCTAGTTTTCGGGAGGATCAAGATAAATTTTCAGCAATTGGATTTACTTTATATTTACAAACAAATATTACTTTTGTTCATGTTTTGATTCTTTTACTCAGTACCTGGCTGACAATAATGATAAATCTTCAAATTCCAATAAAACCACCTCAGGACTCTCAAAAATTGCTACCAAATTAATTTAAGCAGAGATTTTAATGTTCTTGGCCAGAAATTAGAGCTTATGAACCAAGGTATTAATGTTGACCAATTTTGTAGGTCAAGCGTCATTGAACTGGCCAAAGGTCACAATTTAACGTTTTATGCCGCTTTAAAGAAGAGAACCAAACAAAAATTTTAAATAGCGAAAAGATGCACCACATCAATTTGCATTAGAATTTTTATTTGCAACTTAATTGAGCAAAAATGGATAGAAAGCCTTATTCAAATTGGCTGAGAGAGATGCATTCAATCTTGACCAAACTCCCCGAGAGCCAGATTTCTTGCTTTCATCATTTTCTTGAAACACTCTAAAAAAAATAAGGCTCAATTTCATCCGGACGAGACCGTCATAGATTACTTTATTTTTAAATACCTACAAATTAGCTGAAAGATTTAATTTTTTTATCTTGAGGTCGTTTAAAAAATATTATTGATGTTTAAATTTCCTGTGTAATTGATCTGCGATCTCTTCGGACGAGGTTAAAATTAGATATGGTTTTTTTATTTTAAATTTGATGGAAATGAAATTGAGTTTTTTTTTCATCATAATGATAGGCCGTTCTATTTAATTTATTTAGGTGCAAATTTTGAAAAGGAAAAATTGTATTTTAATGAAGCAAAAAAACTGAACAAAACTTTTTCCGTGATCGAAGCAAATGGACCGCACTTGAACTCATTTCAGAAACTTTCCTGGGGGTTTTTTTTTTGCTGGAGGGCGCAGGTGGATCTCTTTTTTTTGTTCTCGCAGCCGGAAATTGCGTTTTTGGTAATAAATACGCGCGGTTGTTTATCGGCGGCGCCGAAGTTGAAAGTGCTCGCGAGGCGAAATAAGAGTCGCGGCGAATCGTCCGCGCCCGCGAAACTAAATTTATTATGCATGCAGCCGGTCCGAAATTGCCCCGAAACTTTTGAAGATTAAACCGTGCAATTCATCCTGCTAAATGTTTCAACCGGCGGGACCAAAGGTGAGGAAAATGCAGATGCGATCCCGAGACGCTTTGCTTTTATGGCGCATTTGCAATTTATCCGCAAGTTATATACATAAAAGCGAAAAAGGCTTTCTGATTTGTGGATCGAATTTTACCACATGGAAATAAACACTTTTTTTTATCTCTAAATCGTGAAAAGTATTATCTCGGGGAAAACAAAAGTTGCAAAAAAACAACAAACAACCGATCCAGAATGTCACAAACTTACTACACAGTATTTTTTAAGATAATTCATAAGACAAATATTTGAAAGTAACACATCAATTTGGCACAAGAGGAAACGCAATTGAGGAAATTTTTAAGAAAAACTCCGTTTAATTGAAGAAACGTGGATTTTTCTGATTATCTTGCTTTTTATTTGAGCAATAAGAAATTTCAGTTTTTATTTGATTTCCCAAAATCTTTGCCCAGGAACAACTGATTTTGATAATTATTGGCAGGTTTGTTGCTTTTAGTGTGAAGACAAATATTCAAGAAGGATTTTCAGAAAAAATGATCAAAATTGCCCTTTTTTAACCATTTTTTAAAAGATGATTTTGAAAATCGAAAATATCTCAGCTCCTGTTAAAGATAGCGCAAATGTTCTTATTATCAAAGTTGACAGGAATTAGACGCCCTAAAACTTTTCTTTAGTGACTGCAGTCGTAGGTCAAAGGTCAAGGTCACCTTTCGGAACTTGAAAATTTATATTATGTACCAAAGTACCCAGCAAGTAGTTTTTCTTTTAATTTTTAAATAAAGCTTCTTCATTTATTTGTT